GATTAGACATTTAAAAGGTCGTTTCCCCTTTTTTTTTTTTTTGGTCGTAGCTTCTATTTTCACATTTAAATTTATTGGAAGAAAATTTTACTTGTACCATACCAATCAAGGTTTTTATTATTTGCCTGAGAACAATGTAAGAAATAAGCATAAGGGAATAACTCAGCTCAAGTCAAGTAATAAAAAGTCAAGAGCGGTTGGAGAGTTTTCGATTTTTAATTTCTATTTCATTATTTACAAATAAGCTCTATAATTTATACTGGATTTGCATAAAATAATTCATCCAGCAGAGGGAAATGAAATGTTCAAGCCACCACATGCATTGTGCTGTTAAGATAACAAATAGTTTAGCAGGTGCTTTAATATTTCATAGCTTTTTGCGTTGGAGGGAGACTACCAGATCTGTTGCTTGCATCAGTCTGTTGGTAAGTTAAATTCATTTATCTTTTGATTAACAAATGTAGCTTGTAAAAACTCAGTTTTGCCTATTCCAATTTCAGTGTATTAAGGTGTGGAACAGAAAAACATATTTGTGTCAGTTTCCTTGCTTGCGGCTAAAAGTAGTCTAAAAGTAGAACCTGTCACAACGGATACTATATAGCGGGCATGGGATACGGTGAAACGTGAATTAACGGACTGGGACGTAAATCGTGAGGCAAAGTTTAAAAAGCATCACTTTTAAAATCAATCTAACATTCCCATGAACATAAACACGCTAAAAGATTGGTGATTCACTGATTCTCCACAAATGATAAAATTTATCGGTGGTAAAACACACGGGAATCTTGTAGTATACGTTTTAAACCTCTGGGGAGAAAAGATATTTAGTATTATTTTTGTAGTCTTCTCCAAATTGTGAGCCTTTTGTGGATTTTGTTAGCTCTTTTTTGTTCGTCTTCTTGTTTCTAAACATTTGAGTTTATACCCTTAACACTTCTTTATATTCTGCAACTCGAATAATTTAAAAAGCCTTTAAATCTCTGGTAGAAAAAAAAGTGACTGGAGAGACTCAGAAAACATGCTATAATGGGTGTTTAAGTCCAAGATCCTTTCAAATCACATTTGCTGTAACTATAGAATCCCTCAATAGTCAGAGTATCGTTCTCTTCAGTTTATTAAGGGGTTTTCGTCATTTTTACACGAGTCTACGGATAGTTACATCGGATCGATTCCCACTGTTTGTCGGATACAGCCACTGTTAGCATCGAAGGATTTTTTTGAAAAAAAACAAGTAATAAGTATTAATCCAGAAGGAAAATGTGGGCATTGCAACTCTCACTGTAGAAGCTTACTACTAATTAATGATAGTATAAAAACTTTTTGCATTAGTTTTTGCATTTAATATGAGGAATAAAGCAAAGGAAATTTAACATAGTTTATTTTGCCTCCTTAAAATTTCACTATTGTGGCAATCTTCACAACGGAAATTGACTTAAAGTAGTCTCCTTTAATTACAAGCTCCAAGCTCTATAAATATTTTTGTTGCATGCCTTTACAATTTGCAATCAATTATTATTATAAATAAAAACACGACCGCATTCTCATGACTGTAACATCAAAAGCACTTCCCTGAAACGAAAAGTTTTCTTTTATTTGTTAGTAGTGGTTGGCTCCACTTTATACCTACTTCTAGCTTTCTTCTTGCGCATGTGTAATACTAGAATTGAGAGAAATAAGAATCCAGTTATTCTTTAAATTGTAGTACTCTTGACACGATAAACATTGCTTAAAATGATAAAAAAATAATGATATACTTAAAAGTTTCTGGGCATGTCAAATCGATATCAATAAAACCATGATTTTTGAATCAGCAAATCAAACTTTGCAAGTAAAAGCCTTCATTCATGGCTTAGTCAATTCTTTTATGCCCATCCCATACACCCCGGGAACGTACGCATCATTTTTTCTCCCAACGAAAAGCTGCAAATATCGCACATCAATCAGGGCGAGCAGATTCTTATAAAACTGAACCCCACTGCGGAGGTTATGTTTGAAAAAGCTAAATATAAAGTAAATAAATTATTAATTCAAATAAGAATCTTTCATAATGAAGAAACCAGCGACGAGATTATGACGAATGGTGACTAAGGGCCTGTTTACATGGAGGTGGGGGACCACAGATAGTTGAGGTAGCATGCGGCGGTCACCCCATCTACGATGTAAACGTGATCAAGTTTAAATGAGAGATTGTATGGAAGGCGGGTTACTCCAAATTGGGCTACCTTAATTAACCACGACCGGGGTCCTCCACCTCCATGTAAACAGGCCCTTAACAGTAATCTTTTGATATATTCAGGTTGATGAGTACAATCGCACAACCTCGCAAATAGCCTTCAAATATCCCAGGAGGGAGGTGACGCTTTGATGAGCAATCACGCAACTGCTATTTTCTTTTTTTTATTTTCAGAGCGTAAAAAATCCTAAGATGAATGATAAGAAATTAGAAGAAGGGGAAGAAAGGAAACATCATCGCAGCCTTTCACAAATGTGGACAGCATTTATTGAAAATACCACTTTGCATGGTATAAGGAATGTTTTACCATCGCAAAGACCAAATGTCTCCAGAGTGGTTTGGTCTGTTGTAATGCTGACCTTTGGCGCATATTTTATTTGCAGCTTTTATTATACAGTGGACAAATACCTTCAATATCATACTGTCACCTCGATAACCAAGAATTACGAACAAAATATGTTGTTTCCCGCAGTTAGTATTTGTCCTGACAATTTATTCAGCAGAAGAAAAATTATGATGCAGGACGACGATCCCTTTTTTGCAGCCCTAGGCCTAAATATGAGCGCATGCGAGGTTACTAAGGAGTTACGTCAGCGGAAGATGAACAACATGTCTTGTGGATTAGCAATGATCTGCTGCTGTGCCTTTTTTGGTTATAAAACAAATCCAATTTATTATCCCAACTGCACTAAACAGAGAAGGAGTGCATTGCAAAAAGTAATTGAAGAATCTGGGCTTCTTTTCAACATGGAACAGTTCTTCTCAGTCTTCAGCCCGGATTCAGCAGAAATGCTATCTCATTATTTTGGATGCCTCTTTCAATTGAGTGAAACCTGCAGTCACTCAGATTTTGAAACCGAAGTGACACAATATGGAATATGCCATACTTTTAATTCTGGCAAAAACAACCGATCCAAAGTTTCCTATAGGGGTGGAGTGAGCAGTGGACTGGCAATATTGCTGAATGTGAGTCAGTCAGATTACACGCTTGGCCACAAGATGGCACAAGGGTTCTCCATATCGATCCATGCACAGGGAGAAAGCTTCAATGGCTTTGATGAGGCATTTAGTGTAATGCCAGGGACATATGCTACCATTTCGCTTTCAGAGGAAAGAGTAGGTTTGGTTTATGTCTTTCTTGATTTAATGTTCTTTGCCTTCAGGAGATTTAACAAAATAAGAAAAAGTGGTATCACGTTAAGCTAGTCAAATTTTTGTTTTGGAGATTTCGTTTCTCACATGTCCAAATGCTGTTTATTTGAAAATGTTGACAAAGTTGACTTAGAAAGGTTAGAATGCAGTGACTTTCCCTCCTTAACTTGAATTGCTTGAAAAGATTGAGCCTACGTTTAGAAGTTCTGATTATTCGTTGGTAACTGGTACTAGCTATTTTTCCTTTCTTACACCTCAGTTTATATCATTCCTTTTATTAGGCTATTTTTAACCAACTCCTTTATGATTATGGTATCAAAGTTCTCTTTCGGCAAAAAATGGAATAATGAGGATGACCTTTCAAGCATTTGTTTGTAAAGAGAAATAAATGACGCCGCTACTGATGATGATGATGATGTCAAGATTTTCTTTTTCATTCAAAGTTCAAGCATCTTGACAGATATGGCAAGAAGTGCAAGACAATGAAACTGAAAAGTTTTTCTCGATATACTACAGACGGTTGCCTGGAGGAGTGTTACGCTAAACGTTATATGGAATACTGTGGCTGTCGTCCGGCGGGTATCACTGGTATATATCAGCAGTCCCCACCCAATTTCTTTTAATGTTTTACTGTATGTTGTAAATGTTCCTGTGTCTTTTAAAAGTATCACTCTTACTTTAATAAATATAAATTCTTTTCCAGGGTACATTTTAAGTGTATGTTCGTCAAAAAAAATATGTTGAATGACAAGTTTTGCTTTTTTGGTTGGTCTATCCGGATCCACTATTACTGTTTTAGGTCCCGGTGGAAAATCGCGAACTGACAAAATCAAAATTGAGGTGTATAGCTATGGAAAAACGGGAAACAGTGTTAAAATCAGCTTTAATTTCAATCGTCTGATTCCATATCGCATTTCTGTGAGGTTAGTAAGTTTCGTTTAAATTTTTTAAAAATCAACTTCGCGAAGACATGACGTCTCTTTCACTTTCATTGCAACAATCGACCACCGAAGTACTGGCGGAATGTCCGATCAAAAATTCACAGCAATCAAAATCATCAGAATTACCTGGAAGCGCGTTTAGTTCGCACCCAAAACTTGACACAAATGTATTTTTAAAGGATAAGGAATCAACAGACGTGATGTCATTACTGTTATTCAAGAGCTGGCAATCACTGAAAATCGCTATCGGAAATCAATAAAAATTCATGGCTGATAAGCAATGATTTAAAGTTTATTGCCAGTTTGCCGAAATGTTTATAAGGAGCTCCGCTTTTAGGCTTGTCTAATTCTAAATAATTCTGTAAGTTAACCGTGTTTCAAAATGTTTCATCATTTTTAACTGATAGAAATAATAATAATAATAATAATAATAATAATCATAATAATCATAATAATCATAATCATAATCATAATCATAATAATCATAATAACAACATCAATAACGGCCAGAGTTTGCAAGTGGCGTGTTTGCTGTTTCCAGTAATTATTCCATTTGCAATAAGCCGTTCATATCGTTCTCCCCTATCTACTGCAGTCTCTTTTTAAAATATAAACTAAATTAAGCAAAAACTAATTAGGACTAAACTGACTTTTGTTCCTTTCTTTTAATTCAGGATCCAGCATTGAAGCTTGCCAACAGAAACATGCAGATTGTCTTCATGGTCTTAAAGGTTGATGACGAGAAATAACTTTAAAGTTATATTTGTTGGTTTAAAATTTATTTTCCTTTGTTTTTTGGCATGGCAATTGAGGGTCATAATGATTAACTAAACCAACATAATTGATCCACGACATGTACTTTCACTCATTTATGACACATGTACATTGTATATAAGCTTCACCTCAATAAAATGTTTAGTAAACTGATTAACTAAACCAAACAGCAATCACTTAGTGATACGTCGATCCACCCATTAACGCGGTGTGACGCTCGGAGTCTTACATTCGGTTAAAAATAACGAGTCAGTTTCATTCATGTGCAGTGTGTGCACCAAGGCATTCAAAAGTTTTTACTTAGTGAGAGGCTGTTTGTACCTTTCTAACATTGCTGCTTTCTTTCATTATTCTGTAGACACAGTGAAATGTGACTGTCTACTCCCTTGTAATCAGACAAAATACAAGGCGGAAGTATCTTTCTCCAAACTCCTTGACAAGACAATCTCTAGTCCAGTTAGCAATTGGTTCAGTAATCTCAACGGGAATAGCAGGTAACGGTAATGCCTCTCTATTAACACTCCCTCCCAAACAAGCTCACCTTTTTTAAAAAGCCCCCCTCTCGATCAGGGGAAGAAGGTTATTAAGCCCCCTTCTCTTTTAAGCCCCCTCCCCTCCTCTCCCTCCTTGTTCTTCACTACCAAAATAAAAAATGGACTGATCCAGTGTGGTTTATTCATATCTGGAAGGTAGGATCTTTAGCTCCAAGACCTTTAACGTCATCTCCCTGAGCATTGCCACTTTACTTCCTCGTTCTTTATGGAGAATTGATACCATCTTCTGTTTGTTTGAAAAAGCAGTATAGTCCCCTGTGTCGCTTAATTGATTAAGTACCCCTTCTCAACTAAGCTCCCACTCTCTATTACCCCCACCCTGAAACATCCTTGAAATAAAACCCACCCCCCTCCCCCCGTGGGGGGCTTAACAGAGGATTTACGGTAATCCATGTTTGTAAAACAAATTTTAGCTACATAATGCATCCGTGAAATATCTGCCGTTTAAAAAAAGAAACGAAAAAGAAATTTTACATCTTTGAGGTTTTGTATTTGAATTTTGCAGGCGTTATAAAAAAAAGAAAAATTGGTAAAGGTGAATCATGTCCTTCAGATGAGGAACGACATTATGACTGACACATAAAACAAAAGCATCGGTCCTAAAACAAATGGATTGTCAACCGAAATTCAGTAATTCAATACTTAACGTCCTCCTCTTCAATCACATGCTGTATATACGATACAAACGTAAGTTGCAACACTGAGATGGAAATATGAAGTATACAGGGAATTCAGCCAGGGAGGGGAGGCGGGGGAAACTCCTATGTATAAGCTTAACAGGGGCCGTGGGGTGAGGTACGCTGTAAAAGGAACTCAACAAGGTTACCTCTCAGATTCTATGCTTTATTAATGTCTATCCGTGGACATGTTGTGTTAAATTTTATCCTTTCTTTTAAATTTTATTTTCCTTTGTTTCAAACTCATTATGGTCATACAATACCATACCCCAAAACAAAGAAAATAACATTTAAACCAAGGATAAAAATGAACAGCAACGTTGACAAAAAAATTAGTTGGTTTCGTGGTAAAAGTAGAGTAAATTAAGTTTCGTACACATGGGATTCTGGTATGTTCCTTTTGAAAGATAATATAAGGCCGAAATAAGTGATTGCAGTTACAGTTTGTCATTTTCGAGCCAACTAATTTGCCTTTCTTTTTTTTCTTTTTTTTCGTTCCTCTTTTTTTCTCTGTTGAATACCAGGTGAGATTGGAGGTAACATGGGTTTGCTCCTTGGCTGCAGCGTTCTGACACTCTGTGAGTTTATCGAGTTCCTGTGCAGTGTAGTGGCAGCAAAATTGTGCAAACGTACCAACATCAGACCAGTCACTTCGGTACAGTGATACAGTGACGGGAAGCTCTAGTTCAAGGCTGACAACTAACTGTTAATACAACAAATTCACGTAATGATCGCTTATTCTTAGAACATGATTATTGGGTATTAGGTCGGCGGCAGGTAGCCTTTCCTTTGTGACCCGAAGCAGGTTTATCCAATAAGGAGATATGGCGAGGAAAATTTCAACCTTGACGTAGCTAACTTCTTAATGGACTGACCGTAAATAAAAAAGAAAGCGTATCTTAGTTTCTTACACCAGACTTAAACGCTGGAGTGATTTTTATTTGCTAATGACTCTCCAAAGCAATCTTAGTTTTTTACATCACAAGATTACGTTTAACTGCACAGTGCGCAAGTCCAGCTACATATATCTCCTGCAGAGGCACACTTATCCTCCACTACAGCAATAAAGAAACAATAATAGGCATCCTTTTTGTCCTCGCATGGTTCTCGTCGCGTTTTTGCTAAAGGAAAAATGAAAATGGACTTGACTCACTCTAAAAGAATGTCTTTGTCGCCTTAGAATGATTAATTTTTAAAGAGCAAGGAACTAACAGAACAAAACAATTAACTCAACTGAAGATTACTCACGAAAATCATTTAGAGATTGTAGAGAGCGTTAATTGAATCTAAACTATATTTTTTTCTCAATTAACGAAGAAGTGAAAACGTCTTGCTAAAGGCAAACAACATTCTGTAGTAAAAATGAAATACAGAATTAGTCCTAATGATGAACTTGTCCATAGCAGTTGTTTTTGCAAAGCGATTATATGATTTCTTGGTTAGTTTTAACTGATTATACGGTTAGTATTTGAATGAGTGATCAGTTGAGTAACAACCTGCTGGCAAAGGTTTCCAGAAACGTCCTTTTGAGAGAGATTTGTTACCTGCCCCCTCTTCCACTTTTAAAGGTTTTGTCAGGATTCGACATACCACACAACACATGAAGGGAAGAAATAGCTGCCATTTGAAAATGTCTCTGTGAAGAGTAAAAATAATAAACGATAAATAAGCAACGTAAACGATGCAAGTTGATTTTGTCAAGAAGTATCACACCAATAAAATTATTACTCAAAGTAAAATCACAGGTATGGGGCTGAACTTCCTCTGCAGATGTTAACAGCGGAATGGATTTTTTCACTCAGTGAATGGTTACCAGATAAGGTTTATTGAGTAATGCGGTTATAACTGTTTCATCCGAAACAAAATGATGAATTCTTTTTAAAATTAAGAGTAAGCAAACAATCAATAGAAAAAGAATGAGTCAGTGGCTGTGATGGTTTTGGGATACCCTCACTGATCGCTCATAACAAATAAGTTCCTCTGTTGTTTTCAGAAATGAATTGTCGTATATACCAATGTTGGTCTGTATAATACGCTTCCAACTGCGATATATGTCAGCACTGCATGTAATATCAACTTTAAGTGCACCTAATTATATCAAACATTTAATGATCTGTCAACCGAAAGTTAGGAATAGTAAATATGCAAGTTTAAAACTAGGTGAGAGCTATGAATATTCTATGTACTTTAAACTGACACTGAAAAAAAATAATGATGTGACACTGTAATAGAACTATAATACACTAAATACTTATGTTAGATATGTTATCCGAGGTTAATGTCAATTGTCCTATTAGGGTACAAAGGTTCCTTACATGAGTCTCCAGAATCAAGTCTCGAAATGTATTTAAAACGTAATTAATATATGATTACACAATAATGTTGTTGTTTGTTTGTTTGTTTGTTTCATTTACTAAAGCAGATAAAATTAGACATTCTTCCATGAACTATGTCAGTTGACGGTTACAGAGCATACCTTCTCTTGTCCACAGAATGAAAAGTCCTAGGCGCTTTTTATCTATCCTGTGCCAAACTATTGAAGACAATACTGTCTACACCGATGTAATTGAAGTAATATATTTTTTTATCATTATTACAGTAGAACCCCGGTTACTCGAACTCTGAGAGGAAATGAAAAACAATTCGAGATAGCGAAGATTTCGAGTTATCGGGGTAAATTTTTAGTGAAATTTTGATCAAGGGAAAGCCAGAAATTTTAATCGAGTTAGCGGCGAATTCGAGTTGTCCGAGTTCGAATCAAGTCAAGGATCTATTCTTCGTCTACAAGCACGCTGTTGTTTATTGAGTCCGCACAGAAGTTCTCAGGGGACTCAAGAGCCGATCTGACAGGCCATGTAGATGTTATGATACATAAATATATATTCTTTACGTTATTCGCTATTTTCTTGGAAAAAAAGGAAATATAACCAATCTATTTTTTTTTTGGGATTCGTTAATCAGCTAATACTGTCAGATCTTTCTGAGGCTGGCCTAGATAACGGAAAAACTATAAACAATGTTATCAGTTTGCGATGATATGTGGTCCATAAACCTTCAAACTGGGTGTAATTTATATCTGAATAATTTCTTTACTCTATCCCAATCTTACGTGTATGGGAATTCAAACGGCTCTGAGAATTCAAATCAGTGGACGTGATCGTAAAAGAAGAGCAAAAAAAATTGCTTGAACATTAATTTAAAATCTACCGTAGGAAAATAGCTTCACTGAAGAGAAAACGTTGGGTGTGGTTTGGTCCTGACCTGCACTGTTTGTATGTTCGAGAATAGGTATCATATAGAATGGATCTTACATTGCTGTAGCAGATGATTTCGTTCTTGGTTTACAGCTTGCATGACCTAAGAAAAAAATGTCAATGTCAATAGAGACTAAGTTTCTTACTCGGATGTTTGGTTGGGGATTATGTTAGATTTTTTTTTACAGGTCCCAGGCGGCAAGGAAAAGAACCTTTTATTAGCTTCTCGAGACCTAGTTAATTATTTGGTCAATATAATTACGTCAGTCTGCTCAAGGAAGGCTGGTAAATAGTCTCCCAAGTGGATGACTCTTTGTCCCAGTATTTGTCCCTCCATAAAACAGCTGTTCTGTTCCCTGTAATTCCAATAGGAATTCCTCTGATGTGAGTGTGCTCAGTCCAATATCCAATCTCCATCTCCATTTTTGTTGGGCTGACCTATTGAAGTTTAGTCCAGAAAAATACCGAATTTCTACGCCATTATTTTCTGTAGGAAGCAACGTTCCAGTAATCCGCGACCGTCAGTGCATAGGATGAAAAAACGCTCATCGTATGCCCAAGATGGACAAGCTTCACCCTACAAACCATTCGGAAGCGCATTCTTTGCTAAAAAAAAAAAGTAAATTAGTCATTCTTAATACGAAGTAGTACCCACAGTTTCTTAATTGTTTATTACATCATTCCACGCATCGTGAACATACCAAGAAAATGACTGAATCGGTCTGGTCAATGGAAGATCATACATCTCAAATTTCCAAGGAGACTAGAAACTCAGGCTGTTTCCTTCTTCTTCCCACAAAAAGTTTATTGATTATCGCACATGTGTTCTCCACTTATCTTGATAAAAAAGAAACGCTTTCTTTTATTTACCACCTGGTTTGACTTTGTTTTGTCGTTCAACTAAGCAAAATATTACTTGATATATAATTTTAAGTATGATAATTAAGCATCACGTTGACCTCAAAATTTTAAGTACTTATTACAATCACACCAATCGCAAATGTATTTTGTTAACGAAGCTTCTAGTGTGTTAGATTAAAGAAAAATTAAAAAGCACTTTCTGGATTGCCCACACGCTGTTCACTGTCTTCAAGAAAGTAAGAAATCCTCAAGAAGGTATGTCCATACTTTTATTCACTGGTACATCTCCTGTTGTTTTTACGATTATTTGACCGAGTTATACGTAATATTTTGACGACAGCATACACAAATGAAGCTCAGTTGAGTCTTGCTATATGTCAAAAAAACACACCCTTTGGCCTTGTCTTTTTGGAATTTAAATCTTTTTAAATTTTGCCAAAAATATCTTATTGGGCGTATTATTACTATAACAAAGCTTAGCCATTTTAAAGCCAAATGGAGTTCTTTGCCAGTCATCATTTCAAACGGGCAAACTTTAGAATTTGATTGATGGTTGCTGCGCAAAAATATCAAGAAATTACGCCTTTCAAGATAGAAAATTGTCGATTCATCAAAATTTGAAGTCCTCTTGTAGTTTGTCAGCGAGTCATATAACAATTAGCATCTTTTGCCAAAGTACTCGGTTTTTACGAAATCGCTTCCTCGTCGCTCAATCCATTAATGAATAGTCAAAGGCAGAAAGAAATTAAAATCACATAGACCAAATTGCTTTTTCAATTACATCGTTGGCTTGTTAATCTAGAGGTTGTTAATAGATGGTCATTAACGCTCAGGTCAAGGGGTCAATAATTGGAAACTCGTGCTCCAAAGGTTTTTTTTTTTTTTTTTTTTAATTATATCGTAGGTTCGTTGGTTGGTCAATCTGAGAGTAGTTTAGAAAAATTACCAACTTTGAATTCGCCCATTGATTATGAGATATTGACAGGTTAAATTTATTCGTGTTGACGTTTTACTTATACACGTATTTGTCTGAAGAGAATGATGAAAGAAAGGCAAGACTTTCTACAGCTAAATAATGTCAGTGGTACCTAACTTTCCGACACCGCCAAGAAATATTTTCATAAAATATCGGGCTCAGGATATACTTTTTTGTTGGCCAAAAAAATTGTTTCAAGTCATGGACATTCGATCCACTGTTAGGTTTGGTTAAATTCTATCTATTCACTGTTTTAGCTGTTAGAGATTCAAGTTATAGGCTCAAGCTAAAATGGTTGGAATCAAAGAAGTTATTATATTTATGCTCGCTGTGTGCTTGGCATCTAATGGCTTGACGATGTCACTCGCTGCCAAAGATTCTACAGAAAACGATAAAGGTGCAAGATTGTTCAAAGCTCTTGGTATGTCAATATACACATCATTTATCATGATAAAAACTCCCAGCGACTCCGACATAAACTTTGCATATAAGACACTATAATTGGCTATAGGCTGTAGTGGTCTCCCTACTAAATAATTTTATGTCTATAAGTATATTGTTTTCTAGTTAGGGGAAGCTAAATAACGTAAAATAAAATAAAAAATACAAGATATATTTGACCTCAGATTGGTATTTATTATTATTTCAATAACATTTTAAGACAGTAAGGTATTACAGTTTCACCTCGTTTCAGAATGGCTTGCTTACAAATTTATTTAGTTTTTGGCTTCAGTTCTTTTATGATGCTTCCTCTTTTATCGCCCAACTCCAATGAGCTGCATGTCCAAGGTCAATGAGGTTGCTTATTTTACTTTATTGTTATTTTTTTAATATATATTTAGGAGGAACAAACATCAGACGTTCATTTTGTGAGGAACCTATTGTATGTTTACAGCATTATACGAACAATCTTGCAAGAAAAATAGTCACAAGTGCATGCGCACTTGTGGAATGTGCTAGCTTTTATACAACAACGATATCAACGACATATTATAACGTTATAACGTGTAGTTGTATTCTGCATTGATTTTAAGACAAACAAGCTGAATTAAATTTTAAAGGCTAAAAAGTAAGCCATTTCTCCTCAGTCTACGCAATGTTTTTGTCCGGGGGGGCGTACAAAATGTGGGTGGGGTGTTCTGCTGGGGTCTTGGAATCCCTTACCCTTCTCAGACCACAAAAAGTTGTTCAATTTTCCTACTCCGTAGTCATATTGGAGTTAAACTGTATGCCCAATCCAAGGCTAGAAGTCTTAATTAAAAAGTGTTTTTTTAGTCAGTATGCTTTCTCCACGTTACTGCATGTCCAGGATCTGTTAACAGTAACGTTACCCTCTCTCCCTTTGACATCATCTCAGACAACAAGACAAACTTCATCATTTAATCGGGACATGAGTGCGTGAAAGGTAGTACTCCTTATGCTTGAGTACTGAACTGCCAGTTACATGGTTTTTTATTCTGTTATGTTCTACTTGGATTATTTGCTTCTAATTATATGACTGGAAAGCTAAATGCACTTCCACTACTAAGAGTGAGAATTCACGTACAATACTTCTTATCTATGGAAATGGCTGTCAACATAGAAATCCTCCAACTGATTGTACGAAACAAATGACAGCTAAGTACTAATTTTTAATGACTAATGACTTTGGTGACATGAAATAATTTTTCTTCCTCAACGAAGCTGTACCCTTGTAGAATTAATGCTTCTTCAAATATATCCTGTAAATGTTTCGAAGGCGTACTCTTCTTAGAATCTAGAATAAAAAGTAGTTGAATGGTCACAAAATTTCAAGAAAATGGTAATCTGGAAAAGCTTAATATTACCTCTTTAGTTATCATCGATAAAAGGTTTTTAATTAAAATACAAATTCTGTGACCAAATTGATCCGAGGACTGACATGGTATGTTCAGTCAAATTTTAAAAATAATCTGATTGTATTAAAATTTCGTTTTCGATGTGTATCACGGATATTAACTAAAATTTAACATTTCTTTAACAGGTATTGACAGATGTTAATGACACACCAGTCGAGTTACTTGTTATGGGCAACAATAGCCTTAATTGGGCTTGAAATCCCATTGGTCGAAACAGCCAGATAATTAAAATCCTCGTTGTATTAAAAATACTCTTAATGATTAAGCATTATATTTTATTTATATAATATGCTTTAATGTCTTAAGTGTTGCAAGCTGCAATTGTGTTTTTAAAAGCTTCACAAGAGCAGCTCAACACGTTAAGCAGCGCAGGGTGAGTTTCAGCTCGAAGCAAAAATATTTTTGGAAGGTAGTTTATGTAGAGTACTACAGTTACTTGGGGTGCGTTGAATTGGGAAATCTGGATTTAGATTTTAAAATCCGGATTTCGGATTTGCGAGCGAACGCGAAATCCGAAAACGAATTTCAAAGCTGAGATATCTGTTTTTGGATTTTCATTTGTACCGTTCGGTTGGGAAATCCGAAAAAGGATTTGAAAAACTGTCCTTAAGAACAGCGGTCTTGCACGCGTACGCATACTTAGAAAAAGGAAGACCACTGTTCACGAGAATAGTTATGCAAATCCTTTTTCGGATTTCCCAATCGAACGGTGAAAGGAAATCCATGAAATCTGGATTTGGAAATGGACGCGGGGTACATGCCTTAGGTATAAATCAACCCAAAGGTTGGATATCTTGGTAAAATTTACCTTTTCTATAGTCATGGTGACGGGAGGGTTCTGTTAGTCATAGTTTTCTTCCGTTTCTTAAAATTCCCAGTTTTCTTTTCTTACCACAGTTTAAGAATTTGAAGCTTTCAAATATGCTTATGTATTCATAATACATAATAATAATAATGGGTATAATGTTTTGTCGTAATATTTTAAAATGAATTCTCGAAGAAAAAACTATCTGGAGACACTGACCAGCTTGCAGCTGTAATACCCAGGAAAGCAACATTTAGCATTTTCACTCCTCCCATTTCCTTTGACCGTACAATATTAGAACTCTATCTGTTTCATCCACACGTAAGTGTTATATTTAAAATACTGATAGATGAGATATTAATTATCATGTTTGCGAGCAAGGTTCGCCCTCCAACCACTGAGCAATGGGAGGCCTTTGGTCAGGATCAGGGAACTAAACACACTTCCAAAAGCGTCCTGTGTGTTAATAAACAACAGAAGGTGTAAATCGTAAGCGTAGAAAATAACTGGGAATAAACCATAAAAAATCCTCATGAAGTAATGAGAGTGGGATGCAAAGTGTTCAATTGCCAAATCAATGAAATTTGGCCATGAAGTCTCTGAAACCTGTACCAAAGAGAATTCTGACCAGGTTGGGTATTTTTTTCCCTTTCAGTCTTTACTAATTGTTAGTAACAGATGATCTGAAGATCAGTGTAATATGCAACATTATGGAAGGGGATAACAGTGTACAGGTAACACAGTTATCAGACGGCGAATATCATTCCCAGCCGGACGCTTCCCCTAGGCTCAAATCCCGGTCTCCGAGACATATGGTGAAAGAATTTGTCGACAACACGACACTACATGGCATTCGTTATGCCTTTATGGAACGCCATTTTCTCGTTCGCTTTATCTGGGCTGTGTTGGTATTGATCTCTGGTGCCTACTACCTTTACACAGTTCGAACAGCGTTCCAGAAATACTACGACCGTCCAGTCAATACCGTGTTGAAGCATGAGCACGTTGACGAGATGGACTTTCCAGCGGTTACGATCTGCTCTCGTAACATGTTTGACTTAAGCAAATTACTCATGACAGATGACAACCCTGTATTTAAGTCGAGCGGCTTAAATATCACCTCTTGCGCTGTAACTGCAGGGGTTCGAGGTACTCTCCCATGCGGATTAGCTATGCTTTGTTGCTGTTCACCACGCGCACTTGCAAACGTTGCCCCTGAAATACCAAACTGCACAAGTCGGTATAAACAAGATCTTTTGGATGCTATGCAGCAAAGTCGTCATATCCCAGATACTGACTCTTTCTTTAGATACTACGGTCAAGATATCAGTGAACTCCTTGGACCTGAGTGCTATTATGACTGGAGTGAGACGGATTGCTATGATAAAGATTTCGTTTCCACGACAACCCAATGGGGGAAGTGTTACACCTTTAACTCGGGTGCTTACGGCCGGAAGTTAACTGTAACCAGTAGTGGAGTATCATCTGGATTGACAGTCATTCTTGATGCACAGACAGATAAATATAGTTATGGGAAATTCTCAGAAGGATTCAAGGTTCTCGTTCATGGACAAGGCGAGTATATCGATGAATTGGAAGGAATCAACGTTGGACCAGGACAACATGTTATCATAGCTTTAACAGAGAAAAGGGTAACAAATAATTAAAGATATATACAATCTTTTTTCGCATTGATTTGCAGATCACTTTTGCAGAAGCTAAACTGAATATATGCTTATCCATATGCTTGTTGTTTCAGGGTGCTCTCGATGTTTTGTTAGAAGCCAGTTGTAGTGCTCAAATGTTACCATCTGTTATTTTCTAGTGAATGTTTTTTCCTCTTGTTTTGCTCTTTTTTCAGTACAAAAATCTTGAAAAGCCATATGCCTCTAATTGCTCCATGAAAACATTGAAAACATTTTCCATCTACACAATAGAAGGCTGTCTTTATGAATGTGAAGCTGACAACATCATAAAATCATGCAACTGCCGACCTTCAGATTACAAAGGTACATAAGCATGTTACAGTTTCTATTTATTGCATGAAACAGTCTTCCTCGTGTTTATTATAATTGATCACCTACTGTAGGTAATCACTTGGTTTGCTGGCAATCCTGATAAATCACTACATAGACCAAACTATGGCCTTTTGTAGGCAATCAAGGATTTCCTGTTGGTTTTGTTTTTTGTTGCTGCTGTTGTCGTTTTTGTTCGTTGTTTGTGTCCATTTAGTACACCCTTACTGCGGGACAAATTTAGTTAGCAATGCACATTCGTTTCTTTTTTAGGAGCTCCAGATATTCATAACTGCTTGAAACCCGATGAAATGGACTGCTTTGCAAAGGTGTCGGGTATGTATTACATATATTAGTTAAGACCAAGTGAACTTAGTCGAGTTCAAGTCCAGTTCTGCTTATTCTTAATGGATATGCAAAATTGTAAGTTAATATTACGTCATCTGATAGTCATATGATAGTAATGAAATTGAAAGACTTAGATTCCTCATCGTTTTCGCCCTCTTAACGTAAATAATTGTAATGATGCTAATGATTTTAATATTTTGAGATCCTCAGACATCCATAGTTATAACACTAGAAGAAGGGGAGGGGTAGGGTGGCAGGTCAGTCCCAGAATCGTATAAAGATCCGTTATTTTGTCTAGCATCTTTAGAGGAAGACTCGTGTGGATGTGAGGTTCCTTGCTCAAAGATCACATACATCACTGATGTGTCCTACTCCAAGTTTCCTAACCGTATCACCGCTCAAAAGTTTATTCAAGACGGTTATTATGATGACATTGAGTATCAAAGGTAAATACTCTTTCAATTTAGCACTACAACAAGAAGTGTCAGAGGTATTCCTGTCCTATCTTTAAAAATATAGATTTGCAGATGTTAAAACCAATCATAACATAATGATTTCATGAACTTCATCGCAACATAACAAAATTTACTTCTTATCATAACATAACAACATAGACACACCTCAGTTTAATATTTTTTTTGCCTATACAAGAACAAAGAATAAAAAACATAGACCACGTCATCATATGCACATCTGCATCCTTATGTCATTGAGGGACTTATTATATGTGGTTTATAGATATGCAGATGATGAAGACTAAAAGTTTTACTCAAATAACGTTAATTACTTTTATTATTTAGGGATAACCTCGTGCTTTTGCAAGTTGGTTTTAAGTTTTTGAGTTATGAGCTACAGGAGGAGCAGCCTGCGTACGACAGAAACTCCCTGTTTGGTAAAATGATTCGGTTGTTAGTTTTATTGAGAAATATTATTATTATTTATTAGCCCAATGTTGTGTATGTGTTGCAAAGGTTTTGCGAAAGCTAAAGCCAGGCAACATATTTAACCTAAATAGACCTTTAACATTTTTTTCAAAGTCACATTTATATTCATTTTTACTTTGACATTTTGAGAAAAAGGATTCGACAGTATCCACATGATCACATGAGGTACGACCGCGCGCGGTAGGTCTCTATCACGGTCCAACCAATTGCATCCTTTACCACTGAGACAACCTTCCATAGTAAAATGATGAGATGCTATTGATCTATTATTGACTGATATACGCCAATTGACAGTTATTTCCATAATATTTTCCTTTGTTTTGTGTTGTAGGTGAGATCGGGGGCAACATGGGCTTATTCTTGGGATGCAGTTTGTTAACGATATTCGAGTTTCTCGACTTCCTTATCTCCTTCATAGTAACACTGAAAAGGCGTTATTTGATACATGCAGCATGACGTCAGAAATTTCTGGGTAAAACCATGCGCAACTAATGCCACACAAGCACATTTGTCAAGTGCAACATGACTTCAGAAATTTCTGGATAAAACTATGGACAACTAATGTTACAGAGAAGACCAAAACTACAAGGAAGAACACAACCAAAACCTCAGTATGGCCAGTATAGCTGTGCGCATGCGTAAGGTTTTGCAGGCCGTGTAGCGGAGTTTGGTACCGTGTGCATCCTTGCAGGTTTGGAAGTGTTATGCTGCAAATGTGCTGCGAAGAAAGAAGGAGAGCTGAGTGGAGTATGTAAAAGTTGTGTTTGTTGCTAGAAAAGGCCATTTTACCTTCGTTCTCATTAATATGCACGACATGCACGTCAAGAAACAGTGAAGCGGATTCAGGACAATTCGATGTCTTTTATGGAACATGAAAGCCTCAGGAAATAAAACTCGCTTAATTACGTTACGGTTCAGTGATTCTATGTCACATATAGCTTCGAGACCAAATAAGGGCATTATACACAATATATGAAAGAAACTATCGCCTAATCAATCTGAAACTTGTCAAACAGGTTAACCCACCTAAAAATAGCACATGACCTTATCTTAATGGGATACGCCCCATTTTCTTCATGAATTTAAGACAAAAGGCTATAACGTCATTTGCACTGATGTATTCCACTCTAAACTGATAAGGTTCCACTTTAAAAACACGGAGTAAAAGATCCCTACTATACTACTCTACAAATCTTTTTTCAGTTCATGCCATGATCATGGCATCAAGAACAATGCATGCCAATAATAGAGAGGAAAGTCATTTTCGTTGCATTACAAGCAACCAGAGCAATTCTTGTGCAGCTATAAAAACACCTGTAATTTAAGCTTTAATTGTCTTTAACTTGTAGGTAAATTGTTCTCTGAACCTTATCCATGACGTTTTAAAACTCAGCGAAAAGGTTTATCGGTAAACTTGTTTTGTTCAATTTGTTGAAACTTACTTAACAAGTTCTTAGTTCGTATGTTGTAGATAGCAAAGCGACATTTCTTGAAATTTGCTGTAAAATCGTTTACTTCAAATAAAAGAAATCTATAAAAAAAATGAGAAATTTCACTAAGTAAATTAAAAGAAAAGTATAATGAATCGTTCCGGTGCGTGCTTACATCAAGCTGGATGTGTAAGGCGACGCTCTCTGGCTGTGAATATTTGAGTCAATATGAAGTCCAGCCACTCCCAGATAGTTATCAGACTACATCCAAGGAACAATCCCATGCTGCCTCCTATCTCACCTAAGAAATAAAAGAAATGACATTGTATTACAAGAGTATACGGAAGTCTATCCTGAAGTACCTGTAAACAAAAAGAAGCATGGAGATTCAGATACCCCCATCACTGCACGTGAACTATATGATGACTTGCATCTGACAACTTGACAAAAGAGTGTACTCTGTGGATAAAATGATGCCATGACGGATTTATTTATCCTGTAGACACTATAGGAAGAATGGGTTCAAGCCAGCTTTGGGTAGCGTATGTTATGATTGGTCCACCCAAACGATCCCAGACATTGTTGTGCCGAAAGTTTGTACCCATTCTCCTATAGGTTCGGAGTGGAGAATTTATTAACATATATTTCTACATTTGTCTCTTTCTTGACTAGCCCCTAGTCGAGAATTGTAAGTGGGGAAGATAGACAAGACTTTTGTAATTACACACTGTACATAAAATAGCATACCAAATAAAGAATTTGTATCGTAAGCTGGCTGTTCTTCCTGCAAGTCATAGCTCATCGTCTTGAAGCCCACTTGTAAATAGACAAGATTTTCTCTGGGAAAACAAACACATTCGAAAATACAACAACGTAAAATTAAATACCTTTAATCTTAACACTTTTCACCATTACATTTTTATATCCATTACATTTTTTTGTTATTTTAAGTAATATGTACGTTACGCTAGGTCAAGTTAAGTTCACGTTGTTTCCATCCCTATTTGTGTTTATGTTACACATTATCATGTAGTCCTATGTCATGTCTACGATATAAGTTATCTCATTTTTTTCTGTTAGCTTTCGTTATAATGTGTTAAGTGGACCTGCATTATGTTACAGTGCATTACGTTACATTAAGTTATTTAACGTTACGTTGAGTTAAGTTGAATGACGTTACGTTAGGTTTGTTATGTTATGTTATGCTATATAGCTTGGTTGTTACAGTATTTATTACTTGACAATAATTTGTAGTAATACAAAAATCACCTCTGATATTGATGATCACCATAATAACCATTTCTTATAAATGCAGCAGCAGTGCCTGGATCAGGAAAGTATGAATAGCTCACTTCAGCGCTGTATTTGGAATAGTAACAAGGAACTTCACATCCACACGTCTTCTTGGTAACCGTTTCTTTTTTTATGAAATATAATTTCAAAAGAAATATGTTAACACCCAAAAAAAATCAGTAGAAGAGCATCAAAAGAAGTTGTTTGGCTATCTACTAATCAGAAAATCAAAGCCCGTTAAAATGCGGTATAAATATGTCATCCCCACACTTTACGCCAACAGAAACAAAACTAATGTAAGAAAAGGTTTAATATCTTTGGAAAAGCCAGGCCCTTTATCGTTAGAGATACGTTTACGACTCTTGAGAAACCAAAGACCGGATTACTTACCCTGAATTTTGTAAACACACAAATATTCTTCCACGGTTGTGCAAGTGACGTGTTCAGGTGCACCTTAATTAAGAAAAACAAAACAAAACACGAACGTAACAAAAAAATTAAACTGTCTAGCCAGTAACGGTATTCAGTTTATTTTGCTCATATTTGTTAATCAGGGCCAAAAAAAAAGGATAATTTCCGAGTGTTGTAAACCCGACAAATTACATTCTGATAAAGGTAGGAATGATATTGTGGAAGTGGGGAATTGTAGTTTTTTTTTTTGCTGTTGTTGTCTCAATGTTTCGGTATTCTTTACTATTCTTTTGTCTTGCTTTCTTCAGTCTATTGACCCATCTTTTTTTTTTTCAGCTGTAACGACTAGGTTTTTGGGTGTTACTCAGTGATTTGTTGTTTCTTGTTTTAGTTACATCCTACCTGTGTATCCTGAAAGCCGGCAGCCACATTTCTTGGTAATTATTTCCGCTTTGCATTCGAAAAAACATCCCTCTACAGTGTAGCTGGTGTACGCTTTTAAGCTCCTCTTTGTACAATTTGTAGGGTACGGTTTTTCTAGGTTCTTATACTGCAATGAGAAAAATCAACAAGAGAAAATCAACGAGACTGGCCGAGGGTTTTTTGGCATCAAATTGATGAGAGCATAAGTTATTGTTATTTCGTCCATTTCTGTAGCCAAGAAGACGCTGTGGATAATTTTGGAGGCAAGAATGCTGTAAAATAAAAAATAGAATGTTTTTGCAAACAGTGAGTTAAAGGCCAAGTCACTTGAGTTATGTTGGTTTGGTTATTACTTTTATTGTGTTCATCATGAACTTTGAGTATCTAAGACATCAGATACAAAATTATTTGAAAACAAGACATTCAACTTTCCTGCCAATTTGGTACACTTTGAACAAAGTTAAAAAAAATAAATCTTACCTTTTTCTGTGTGAGAGCTATGACAGCGTGTTGTCCTGGTCCTACGTTGATTCCTTCCCATTCATCGATATACTCGCCTTGTCCGTGAACCAGAACCTTGAATCCCACCGACATCTTTCCTTGAAAATACTCGGGTGTCTGAGCATCAAGAAGGATTGTCAATCCTGAAGAAACCCCGCCATTGTTCACTGTTTCTACTTTCCCATTCCTCCCTGAATTGAATGTGTAACACATTCCTGTTGGCGTGAAAATGGGATCAAAACTTTCTGCTGAACAAGATGCGGTACCGCCGAACGTACACAAAGGGCCAACAAGGGATTTTATGTCTTGGCTATAACGCTCCAGGAAAATTTCGACATCAGATTTGAAGTTTGATTGATGTTTGGCCGACAGGAGGTCATGTCTGTATTTTTTTGTACAGTTTGGTAGACTGATAGACATGTTTACTGTATGAGGTGGCTGGCAGCAACAAATTAAACTCAAGCCACAAGGCTCATTGCCTCGAACCTTTTTGGTGACGTCACACAAGGTGATATTCAAACCGCTGGCCGCAAATAGGGGGTCGTCATCTCTCATAAACAGTTTACTCTTAGCGAGGTAGTTGTGAGAGCAGATTGTTATGGCTGGGAAATCCATTTCTTTAAGATCTTGCTTTGTTATCACCAAAGTGTTAATGGGATAACTGTAGTATTTACTAAATGCCCTGTAAACTATTATAACGTAGTAAGTGAGTGCGAAGAGAAGGAGCAAAACCCAAAACAAACGAACCACGAAATGGCGTTTCTTGAAGACATACTTGAGACCATGAAGTGTTGTGCTATCAGTAAATTCTTCCCAAGTCTCTGTTGAGGGCTTTTGCTTTTTGGGTAACTTTTCCCCTTGACTCTCACTCTCTGTAGTCCAACATTCAGGTGATGTTTTCTTTTCGATCACCATCATCTCCTATATACAATCAGTGACGAATAAATTCAGTGGGAACGCGCCCTTCTGCAAATTATACGAGTTAAACACAATGTTAAACAGTTACACATAGTCAACTATCAAAACAAGAGTTCCAAGAAAAGCAGTCCAAAGATTTTCAACTGACATTTACCGCCAGGAAACTGGCTTTTGATGCTACATCTTTAAAAGAGAAAAGAAATTCCTCCTTAGAAGTTACCAATTCTCTCGACTCTTTATTGTCTTATCGACAAAATGTTTTCGCCTACTAGTGTTGCTCCTGTTGTTACTTTACTTATTTCTTTATTTAATTTTATTTTTCGCAGCAACAACACAAATGTAACAAGCCCTTTCGAGCTTTAAACAGTCGACGTCAGTCGTTTGGCCAATTAAATTTAATTCTCCACAGACATGTTTATTCATTTTTACATTTCCGTTACAAAATACAATAATACACTATGGTACACGTTAAAATTAAAGTCGTTGGTAAGCCTGATGTTGCATGTATTGTCGGCCTTAAGTAGTATTAACTAATAAGACTCACATATGCACTCATAACCTGTTTTGTATGGTACGCTGTATGAATGGCTGCCAGGCCACAAAATCGACGGCAACGCTTTTCGATCAAAGAGCAAGTTGGCTGTTTCCCGTTCAGGTTCCTTGTAGTTCTTTCGTGAGTAAAACAAGAAAGGAACTCTTTTGTCGCACTGTAGCTTACTGTGTCAGCTCGATGTGTCAAAAAAATTTTCCCGCTCGTCAGTTCTATAGCCACATGTATTATAAATGTTGTATTTCCAGTAAGGGGGCTAAACAAGAAGCAGGTGATCGTAAACAGCCGATGTAACGTTTAAATATTGTGGTATATAAATAATGAAAAATGGAATAATAATTATGTTTTCAATTTTACTTTGCCGAAAACTGTCCTTTTGAAGTATAAGCAAATAATAAAGGGGATGTTTCTGAGATGACTGCGTTGGCTTCTAAAGCGCAAGTTCCTCTTAAGCTGGAAAGGTAATTAAAAAAGAGTACTTGTCTACTTTTTTGCTTTTATCCAAACTTTTTTGATTGCACAGAAAAAGAGGACTCTTTTTTATTTAAAAAAAAGTAGTGTTCCGGTTCTGTAGCACGATATCGTGCAAGTTATTTTCACCAGTAATTTGTTTTTTCTCTTCCATTTTAACCTGCCGTGATTCCTTTGAAAACGTGATTTGAGTGCCTCTCCAGTTGGTAATCTGTAAATTATGCATTAATTTTTGCTCTCAACCAAACAGATCTTCCTTAAACGTTGACAGTTATGTTGATATAGATACGTTATTGAATGAAATGAAGAGAATTTAAAATGTATCTTCTAAGTGNTGATTTGAGTGCCTCTCCAGTTGGTAATCTGTAAATTATGCATTAATTTTTGCTCTCAACCAAACAGATCTTCCTTAAACGTTGACAGTTATGTTGATATAGATACGTTATTGAATGAAATGAAGAGAATTTAAAATGTATCTTCTAAGTGCTTGTGACTTCGTAAGCCAGTAATCCTACGTTTTTTTATCCTTCCTCTAGCCTCTTATTTATGACAAAATACTACTTATAGTAATTATTGCGTTTAATCTGTAATACCATATTTATTATCATGTAACTTTCTTTGTAGTAATATTGTAATTTATTTGTTTAAGTGATACGTCTCCATAGTGTGTACATACCTGCCTCGATTAGCCTCGATATTTGTGGGTAGTCTGTACTTGTGATTTATCGATTTTAATGTAAAATAAAGTTTTGTGGTTGGCAGCCAGTGTAGAATTAAGTCAAAGTGAGAATTGTCTAGCTTATTTGAAATGTATATCATAACGAGGCAGGTTCTGTAATGTAGCTTGAAGTGCATGACGTTCGCTAGGCTGTCGGTTTTTTCATTAATTTGAGCTCTCCAAATTAAACAATCCCTAATCAAAATCAGCATACGTAGTTACGATTTAAGAATAGTCACAGTTACGGTAATAGCGTAACTGAGCCTGCGATTAATTAAAACCAACAGCTGGTCAACAGATAACTTTACAAAAACCTCGTCACCTCAATGAGTTGTACAGTTGAGGCTGCAATACAGTAAGGCGACACTGGTCAGCGGATACCTTTTTGACAGCTGTCAATTGACCATAGCATGGATGTCCATAAGGATGTCCACTATCAAGTTCAACACAGATGGTATATGTGTTTGATACCTAGCTAGTAATGTCCAGCCATTACAAGAAAACAGCCCATCAGAGTGCGCGTACTGTTGTAGCCATATAATAAGATGTCATTATTACTGTCGTTTTTTTTTTACTATTATTAAACTTCGCCAAAAAGGTAGGCCATTAATTATGACATCTGTACGGCGCCTTTAAATAGAGGATAACAATGCATCAACGCGTCCCGCATTGGTCGTGGTTCGTACTTTTTATCATCGTGTTTTTTTTATTATAATTATTTCAATCAGGCACCATTTTAGCCCTCGAACGTTCAAACTAATTCATGCCCCACCACCGTGAAAGGTCCCGGGGAGGTCGGTTGAAAACTCCCGGGATTTTCATGTATTACAATATAATATTCTGGAAAGATGAAGCGGCACTGTAAACGGCCTTCTTAGATACACTAAAATGAGCTGTATGAGGGCTGTGTCTGTGACATAATTCAAAATGGCCACCATTTTCGGCCGCTATTATTTAAAATTCATACTTAATGACATAGAGTAGAAATTAATCGTTCTTCAAGCTTAAAGTCTAAACTTTGTTATAGTTAAACGTTTTGAAACTATTTTTGTGCAAGGACAATTCGATTATCAGTAGCATTAAAGTAAGAAGATTATTGATTATTAAAATTCGCAATGTTTCTCTATTATAAGAAGCCAGCTGAGGAAACATGCATTGAGAAATAGCTGTAAACCAGAATTACCCGAAGGCCTAGCTAAATATTCGACTACAGAGAGGAAATTATGCTATAAGTGGAAAGAAATATTATTCATGATCTCTACAAGCACTACATGTAGGGCATCATAGGTAAGCTACCACAAATGATAGTCATATAATCATGAAATGTCATTAGTTAAATAATAGTGATTGCACTAACTTCAGAAAATAATTATTATTTTGGCTTTATACGTAAATCAGCGGCGACGGAGCGAATATAACGTGGGTGGGCTGAAAATAAAATTGGACATTCCATTTTTTTTCCATTCCATTTTTGGACCCCTCATATGCAATCTTCAATGTTGCCGACAACAACAACTCCATGGGATAATAAAAAAAAAATGGAATGTCCCAATCCAACCGGACGAGTCGACGTTTACTTGAACTTCCCAAAATAGTGTATTAAGTCCTAATGAGTTGACCGTGGTAAAATAAAAGAAAGTTAATTAATTATTATTCTACAAAAGTGGGGGGGTGCTGTGCCCAAACAGCTCCCCCCCCCCAAACTAAATAGTGGGGCCTATGATGTTGCCAAAGATACATGGTTTGCTTGAAAAAATTTTGACCTCGGACGGCTCTTATTTAAATAAAAGCATAGGTGAGGTAGGTTTATTCACGAACAAGCAATTTTGATTTTTTTTTAGCCAACACTTATCACAAAAAATTGAACGAAAATTCACTGACCTGTAGAGCAATAGTTCACGGGAGAACAGCTGTAAATGTAAGTATGACATTGGCACCTCTGATTTTACTGATAACATTCAGTCTAAAAGCTGAATTGGAAGTATTGTTGTTCGTTGTTGAACCTCATTACTAACTTCCTGAATTCAGAAAATTTAAACTGAAAAAAATTCAAACTGAAACCCATTTACTGCTTCACAATTTAACTTCTATGCATTTACCAACAGATGAATACAAATTTCGATTTTCTGATCTTAATCATTTTTCTCCTGACCAGCAGTTTAATTATGGGATAACAACAGTTTCCTTCTAATTGTTAGTCAACGGTAAAAGTTAGGAGATCGGTGACTGACATCCCTAGATCAGATTAGTTAGTTACCTAAACCAAGTATAAAGAAAACTGCAGAGGATAAAAAAAAAGTTTGTCGATTATCTACTCGACCTATAAGCAAGTAGGTACGTATAGCTACCTTATAAAACCGAAAATAAGAATTTTGATAGTAGCAGTATAAGCAGCACATCACGTTCAGTTCCTATAAATTCAAGCACTGTTGTTTGCAAATCAATCGCGAAACCATCGTAAGTCCCCCAATCGATTATATAATTATAATAACTGACAGTATTCCAAAATAACCCCGATAAAATAATAGAGAAAATGGAAACTCAGGGGTTTCTTGTAATTTCAATTATTATTTAATATTTTATCTAACATTTTCCTGTGACTTTGCAAAAGTCGACCCGCTCGAATTTTGTATATTCAGGTAAACAGTTATCTTCTCTTTTTTTCAGTTTAGTTAGCTAGTGAACGGAAAGATGAAATTATGAAATTCGTCAATCAGTGATTCGATTTATACAGTAAGCAATACAGTTTAATGGAAGATATACTCTATGACTGTATATAAACACATCAAATAAATCAAATAATTTTAATTATTTGCACATGTATGCGATTTTTCTACCCCGTTAATTGATAGCTAGAAGTCCTCTTTAAGACATACAGGAAATTAGAAAATATTAGTTTTCATTACACAAAAAGAAACGAATGCTGTGCGGAAATATAAACGTTTATTATCTATTAGTACGGTGGCTAGGCCTTCGGCGATAATAAGAGCAAATGTTGGAAAATTGTCACATTCATTAAAATTCGTTATCATACTGAGTCTTTCAAGCCTTGTATAATGCCGGCAAATGAAATGAAATTGGTCTCATCTAAAGAGCTAAAATTCTTAACATGTAATGTATATTTTTTATCATTATTTATGTCACTAGATTAAGGCTGCTCTCACAAGCAAATAAGTTGACTTCTTCAAGGAACCTATCAGAACTTGATATGTTTATTTCCTGAGATTGCAGTTGCGCCGTTTTTTCGGTAAGTTCATTCATAATTGCAAAAGTATCAAATTTGCAGCGCTCCTTCTTGTACCAGGAACTGAAAGCCACGATGGCTTTAGATAAATCAAGGGTATTGTCGTTTGATGAACTAAAATTTCCACTTCTTAATTCTTTTTCATTTTTAGTTTTTTGTACTCTAAATTGACTTGAATGAGCTTTTGTTTAAATAAAAAATGTAACTCATTCCAAATTTCCTTCGCTAGTTCACTTAACTATCAGGCAAGAAAATTTTGAGGATTTCAGCAATTGAAGGTGAGAGGGGAGGTTAAAGTTTTCTCAACTTCTGCCGGCCGCCAACCCCTGCTCCCCCTTTTTTCTCTTCACCAGCAGTAAATCTCTCTACCTATATCCGTTGAGTTGCCTACGAAGAAAGCTAGCGGCAATTTACAAAAAAAACAACTAAATTTGCCGCCATTTTACAATTTTTACATCAGGGAAATCAAGCAAGGACCAAGCACAGCCAAAATGGAGGTTAAAAGAGATGGATGGATGACTGAAATGCCAAGACATACTGTTCACAATTATAATAACGGTGACAAGAGGAAATCATTAGAGATGTGGAGAGAATTTACGGAGGACACGACACTGCATGGAATCCGTTATGTGTTTATGAAACGTCATTTTGTCATACGCCTAATTTGGTTTGTGTTACTACTGGCCTCAGGTGGCTACTATTTATTCCTAGTATACAGTGCTTTTAATAAATTTTACAGCCGTCCAATTACCACCGTTATAAATACAACAAGACTCAACAAAATGGTTTTTCCTGCCATTACAATATGCCCTCTTAACTTGTTCGCTAAAAGCAAATTGTTCATGAGAGATGACGATCCACTTTTTACACCCAGCGGCTTAAACATCAGCTCATGCGCTGTAACTGCAGAAGTTCGTGGTGATCGTCCCTGTGGGTTGGCTATGCTTTGTTGTTGCACTCCATCTGAATATTCGCAGTACATCTCCCTCATACCAAATTGTACAAATCAATACAAGCAAGACATCTGGAATACAATGAATCGTGCTCGTCATCATCCAGATGTTGAATCCTTTTATCGTTACTACTCGCAAAATATTACGGATCTTTTAGGACCTATGTGCTCGTTTGGCTGGGCAGAATCACCATGCTCAGCAACTGAATTTTCTCCCCGAGTGACAGCTTGGGGAATGTGTTATACCTTCAACTCGGCGGATACTGGTACTGAGATAAAAACTGTAGACTATGGTGGACTGTCATCAGGATTGAGAATCCTTCTTGATGCACAGACACAAGAGTATTTTTTGGGAAAGTTGTCGGTGGGATTCAAGGTTCTCGTTCATGGACAAGGCGAGTATATCGATGAATGGGAAGGAATCAACGTTGGACCAGGACAACATGTTGGCATAGCTTTATCAGAAAAGAGGGTAGGGTTTTTACACTACATGAGGGGCTCATTTTACTGTGTTAACACAAGGATCATTTCACGTGTTTTTGCAGTGTTTTTGTTTGTTACTTTCTGTAGCTCATCTGAAGTCACCCTCTACGCTAGTGAGGTTGACACAACTTAAAATCGTCTAAAAATCCAAAGGTAACCCGCCATTAATTCTTCATATGTTCGCAGCTTAATCAGCCAAATTGGTGACTCCGTGAATCCACTCCAGATATGTTAAAATTTCCCCACCTTCCCTTTGCACACTTTGATCAGTTTCGAGGCACTTCGTGCTTTTCTGCTGCAGGTGGGGCAATGTTTGTAGATTACCATCCGTGAACGACAAGCTTCTCTTGCTAAAAAAAAATACGTCAGTTCATAGAATGAAAGTGAGAGGCGCGCCAAGCGAATTTCTATTTCATTTCTAAATTTTTTTTTTCTTTCAGTTATGCTGCGGTTCATAAAAGCTGTTTACGTAAAGCACTAAATTCCATTCATGTATCTTCTTACCAAGCCCACTTGCTTCACAGACCATCGATCTATGACTTTACTTGTTACTGTTTTTCAGTTTAAGAACCTGGAAAAGCCATACGCCACTAATTGCTCTAATGGAAGATTGAAAACATTCACCCAATATACAATAGAAGGCTGCATGCATGAGTGCGAGAATGAAAAGATCCTAACGATGTGTAGTTGTAGACCAACTGGATACAAAGGTACCAGCTATTTTTTAAATTATGCAGTGCATAGCAGTTTCCATCGGTAAGCGATCAAACCATTCCATTTTACAGTTTAACATTATTTTTAAATAAGGCATGTCACACTGAAAAATAATGTTTTTCTCGTTTCCCTTGAGGTTCCCCTGGGATTCAAGCTTGCACGACACCAGACGAACTTAGCTGTGGAACAGAATACTCAGGTAAGAACGTTTTGGAAGGAACCAAGCTTGGTTTAAATGATAACAGAAGCATACAAAAAGCTGAAACAACTTGTGCTGCTGACAGTGAAGTAACCAGCGTTTTCCTCGCGAATGGCATCTTAAACAAATCCATGGCATGCTAAGCTTAGCCTTGAGAATTATTCCCGCGAAGCGAGTTTATAATTTTGTAGCGCACGCAGCGCGCGGATCACGCGAGGATCGCAAGCGGACTGCGATTTCGCTTTGGTCATAAATCTTTCTTTCTATCGGTTTAGTGTCCGCAGTTGCCTAGCAACAAGCCATAAACAAATCCTAAAGACGCCATTCAGCATGGCGTCATTGTGCAGTTTGGGTTTCCAGGCAACACGGCCACCGACTTGGGCTCATTTTATTCATCCTCTGTTTACTGTACGTTGGCGATTCGCCTAGAGAATCGCCAAGTATTTCCGAGGTAAATAACAGCGGGCTGCAAACACAACAGTGCCCGATTGGACAAGTGGCTGGACAGTCCTTGCCGTGGAAGATTTAACACCGAAAGAACGGTGACCTGAACTTCAGCGAGAGCAGTGAAGAAGAAGACCAGTGCGTTCGGCGCAGTAGTTGCATGGCCCAGTGGTATGAAGCCTCGCTTTTTTTCGCTGGAGGAAGTTGGGGTGCAGTTTCCAATCCGGGCGGGGCTACTTTCATTTTTTTTTTCCATCGTATTTTACTCTTTGGCTTGTTGCTGTTTATTCTCATTGCTGACCCTTTTTAGCTTCGCGAGAGTTTTGTGATAAGGTATTTCTAGTACTAATTATTGGTTGTTTTTGTTGTTGTTTTTTAAAAAAACTCGTGAACGAAATAATTGCTGCAAGAGGGCATCTATCAGTAGCTCAAGGTTACTTTGAACCCGTCTTATAACAAGAATTTACATTGTGTAGACAGGCCTTTTGGGGGAACAATTAATGAGGTTCACAGCAAAAGTAGCTGATTTTGAAGTGAATTCAATATTTCAATTTAGCATATGTGGATGTGGAGTCTTGTGGATGCACAGTTCCTTGTTATCAGATAAAATACAGCGCGGAAGTATCGCACTCAAAGTTTCCAGATCCTGGCACCGCCCAGGTGCTCACTGATTACTATGGTGAAGCAGAATATATAAGGTAATTAGTAATTGCGTCATCAGGGCGAATAACAAACCTTCACAAGCCATTTCTCGGACACTGACAAAACGTATTGGGCCTAAATTGCTAGCAATCGCTATTGAAGTTCCATAAATGTGAAGTTTTGGACGCTAGAAGGATGCACACTGCTTCAAATTGTGTCTCAGAGATTAGTTATACGAGCTCTTATACGATGATATCAGATAGATAGTGACATATACGGCAAACGTCAGATTCAAGTTGAGAAATTCTCAAAATAGAAAACGTGCAGTCAAAGAGAGTCCAAAACCGTATAGACAAAAGTAACATGAAGCTGCTACTTTTGTGGTAGAAGTAATATAATGAACAGTATAAAGAACAAGCTAAGAGAAAACTTAGTTATGTGGTACAAATTTACGTTTCCCTTTTGCCGTAAACGTTACTCTAAATCTCTTGGTAACTTGTGTAAAGCTAAAAGGCCTCTCTTCAGTCAGTTGGCCTTGATCTCATTTCTCAACCGCAAGTTTCTGTTATCCACAAAAACATTTATGTTATTGTCTGATGGAATGGAGAAAATAATACATTCATTTAAATAAGATTGTTATATTCCTAGACTTTCACTCAACTACACAGGGACAGCCATTGGCTGATTCTTGGTCACGTGGGCTTGATTAAAATCAAATGTATCCCGATCGTGATACATTAAGCAATGTACCCCGCTCGGGATACATGCATGGTGGAAAGTGGCGTGACAGAAGGCAGGAAAAACACTGCCAGTTTTCTTTTTCGTGAATAAACACAACACAAACATGAAGCCTCAAGCTAAAAAGCAACGATTTTCAAGTTATGCCATGAGAGAAACAGCAGCTAGAGGAGGAAAAAGATACAGATAGTATAAGGAAAGTACTGTGTAAATCATTCATTCAGTTTCGTATTCTTTTGTTGCTGTTGAAGTACGTTGAAGTGAAAGTCTAGAAATATAACAAAACACTTAATGCCAGGTCCCTCGGGAAACCAGTTAGTTTTGTTTTCCCTCGAGTCCTGATGTTTCCATCGACTTCGTCTCGGGAAACACCAGGTTTCGGTAAAAAAAAAAACTAACTGTTTCCTCGGCATTTGACATTAAGTGTATATTATATTTCAAAAGCGCCTGACCTCAATATGCAATGTTAATGTTCTTTTTTTTTTTTACACTGCCTACATATTTTTCAGTGATAACCTTGTACTTGTAGAAGTTGGATTCAAATCATTGAGCTTTGAGATGCAGGAACAGCAACCAGCTTATGACAGCGTCTCATTGTTCGGTAAAAATGTTCCACCTATTTCTTAACTATTCAGCAGAGTAAAGTTATGCTTTTTCCTCCATGTTATTGTTATTCTTTAAAAGAAATAAAGTCTGAATTTCATTGTTCCATATAACCCAGCTTCCTGTATGTTTTTAGGTGAAATCGGAGGTAACATGGGTTTATTCTTGGGATGCAGTTTACTTACCATCTTCGAGTTCATTGACGTCATCATCAGAATTGCAACGAGAAGGGGACGTCAAGTTTTACATACGCAATGACGTCACACTGGTGCTGAAGCTTCAGTTAAGCCGACTGATGCAATTTTAAATGCATATATATTTTCAAGCACAGAAGCAAAATTACGTTTCAAACAACGAAAGCTATACCAGACTTCTTCTGCGGACAGTACAAGCACCTAGATCGCGATGGCTTTTATATTTTCATTGACGATATATACTTATCTTACATTTATTTTTTGCTTATAAGCTCACATTTGAAGCAAATATTCCAAACAGTAGAAAGAAAATATATTTAGAAAATAACTGTCATGCATGGGTTACCTTCATGATTAAGTCAAGATGTTGGCAAGAAGAGACCATAAACAATGTTTGGTGATTACGCATAATACTTTGTTTAAAAAAAATGTCAGAAATTACGGGTTACTTACTATGTAAATGCTTATACACATTTAAAACTGTGTAACGTTTCCATAAGTGTACGCTAAGTGTAACCCAGACCCTCCGAGAATTTTCGTGCTGCCTCTTGTCCTTTTTTTTGAGTTATTTCGCAATTAACACAAGAGAGAGTTTGGTTTTCTAGTAATCACGCGGTTCCAAATGTAGAATTTTCAAGGATATTATAACGGATGCTAGTAGACGATCACTTTGTAAACAAAGCAATGGTTAAAATACATAGGTCAGTAAAATCATTCATTCATTACTAAAGAAATTAAGCACCACGTTTAAAGCGAATAGCGAACGGCAAAAATGTCCTGACTACTATAATGCCGTTTTCTATTTTTCTGTGTTTATTTTACTGTTGAAAGTAATTTTTGCTTACAAGCAGTTCATAGAAGAAAATTGCAAGCATAACTAGTGCCTGTCAAAATATACTAAGCGTTGTTGATTGCGCACAACTTTTATTGTGCGTGCGATAAAAAGTATATTAAGAAAATCGACGCTTACTGTTATTACATAACTTACATAAGCTTGATTGGATAGAGGCCCTATGTTTGTTTGTATACATTACCTTAGAAAAATCAGTTTCGTTATAGTATGCATAGATCTAAATGGACAATAAGCAAACACTATTCTTGCCTGATTTTTCATGGGATAACAAACAAATAAGTAACAGTGAATTAAACTCGTCGAGTGATTTTTAAAATAAGATCATATTTAAGTGATCCGAAAGTCAGTTGCTTGTTAAAGCATTTAAGAAGAAAACTACTCGACGTTTCGATGTTTCAAACATCATTCTCAAGGGTGAGAAATGGTAAGTTCACAATCTAATTTATTCAAAATTAAACTCTTTTAACAACTTTGAACTAACAGTTCTCACTCTTGAGAACTGGTGATGTTTGAAATATCGAAACGTCGAGTAACGGTTAATAAAAAGTTAAATTTTTCATAATCTTAGAGTGCGTTGAAAATGGATGCGCGGACCAGGGATGAAATGTAGCCGATGTCCCACCCTTTGTAAAATAAAGTATAATCTTGTAACCACAGTGAATCTCCATTATAACAATTCTGAGTAAACCCTCGTTCGCAGTCTATGTTTAACACTGAAATAAAGCATGGATTAGAGTTAAAAGATGTGCTCGCGCGCTATGTTGATTTGCTATAAAAAGATCACTTGCGTTCAGCCAATCGGAAAACTGCAGAGAAAAAATTAACGTCGAATTGAAACTAATTTATTAACCAGCCCCTAGTGCAGTAAAACTAAGAACTTTCTTTAGTCTAGACTTCTACGGCCAAAGCTTTTAAATAAAATATAAAAGTTTTAATATTTTCTCATCGCATCTCAGTCCCTATTGTTTATCGTGCCTCATTAACAAGAAGATGAATAGTTTATTGTTTCGCTGTGTACGTCACTTGTTTGTGTTAACGACATCTACTGACTGCGGTAATATAAGCTACAGCACATTTGAAAGTCATCATTTCATTGAAAAAGCTGACAAACTTATTCCGCTAAGTTTGTACGACTCAAAAATTGATTCAACGAATTCCACCTTCATGCCTGACGGGTCTTCAATGATGGTGGTTTTTGGATAATCAAATGTGAGTATCTGTACGTTGTATTTTATATAAATCTGGTAATTTCAAATCAATTCTTAGTGATAAGTTTATATTATCTCTACCGCATTAGGAAGTTTTTTAATCGCCTCCGAGCCCGATATATTGGGATAACTGATCGACATGATTTGAGGTTTATCTTAATATTTCAAACATTTACGTGACTTAAATCACTCATTCGTGGTCCGGCAAGCGACAGAACGACTGATGCCTTCAATATGCATAATCCTTTGCGTGTATACATGTATTTATACAAAATGTGATTTTTTCAGTTTCTTGAATGCTATCGTCTTGTCTTGAGAATACATTGTTAAACACTGCGTGATTCATTGATAAATAAATTATCCCATGTGGACAGCTCCTTTCTGGATCATGATTTTAAAATACGAATTTAAATACCTGAAGATTGAGAACTCTACTATCAAAACTGACGTTGATCAGCGTTATACTGACAGATTTAAAATGGCTCGTATTGTAAACGTTATTTGATTTTCTTAAAAATCGGCTGAAATTTTTAAAGTTGATGAGATTAAGGTACCTGCAACGAACAATTTTCTAATTACTACTAGAAAAGTCTGAAAAGTAATGTTTGCTTTTTGAGATAATGACATTGACGTCGTATTAAGATGTTTCCACAGACATTTCCAGAACAACGGAATCACAGTTGACTATCTCATCTATATCATACTCTCACCAAAGCAAAATTCTTCCTCAGTTAAGATAAAATCAGTTCTTATCGCCACCGAAAAGATTTTTACCCAGCAAACCTTGTAGCCTTGACAACATACGTAGATGTTGATTATGTTCAGCGGAGATTTCACTTTATGATGCCCTTGGAAGGACCGTCCTTATAGAATACATAAAAGTGAAGTCTCATTTTTTGAAACTTTTTTCGTCGAGAATATATTTCTGGTAGCGTTTATAATAAATTTCAAACACCAATGCTTTGTTCGATCAGAAGTTTTAATTTTCTAATTATGTTTTTGAGTTATTCATATACGCTAATGATCTTTCCTTGCATTTTCACTTCGTTGGCTATCTTGATTAGAATGTTTAATGCAACGAAAATCTTGAGATTATGGCCAATTTCATTTCCAATTCCTTGTTGAATTTCTTTTAATACTTTCACTGGTAACTTGAAAATTACAGTTTACTTTCAAATTTGTAATCTCAGAATGTCAACATCACAGTAAGCGCAGCGTGGGGCATTTACATAATACTCAAGGAGCCCTAAAAAATAAACCTATTTGCTGTGCCATGTGTTCGAGCCCTACCCAGGAGCGGCGGGAGATCGTCCGAACCCCTGTGAAACTAAACTTGAATGTAACGAACCTACTCGGGACATGGTAAGGTGGTAGAATTATTGATGTCATAACATGTGGTTTTGGCTCTCTAATACAATTTACTACCTCACAACAGAAAATAAATAACCACATTGTTGATGCAAGGCTAAAAGAAACTGCCAATGCCAGAGAAGATGAACGAGATAGCAATGTCAAAACTATCAGAGGGTGATATTTCCCAGAATAACGCCTGGAAAGGAAGTAAGTCTTCAGCAGAGATGTGGCAGGAGTTTGTTGATAACACAACACTGCATGGTATCCGCTACGTGTTCATGAAACGTCACATTCTCGTGCGCTTAATCTGGCTTGTGTTACTGCTGACCTCTGGAGGATATTACATTTTCACAGTTTACAGAGCTTTCAATAAATTCTTCGATCGTCCAATTAACACCGTAATAAGCAGAAAAATTGTTAAAGAAATGGACTTCCCTGCGGTAACAATCTGCTCTCTTAACCTTTTTGAAAAGAGTAAAGTTTTGATGACTGATGACAACCCACTTTTTGCATCCAGCGGATTAAACATCAGCTCATGCGCTGTGACAGCAAGTGTGCGAGGCAATCGTCCCTGTGGATTGTCTCTAATTTGCTGCTGTGTTTTTACCGAGGACATAAACGACGCATTAGTTATCCCCAACTGTACCCAGGAGTATAGACAAGATCTTTTAAATGTTATTCAGAGCAGTTCTCATCGTCCGGACCTTGAGGTCTTGTATATGCACTATAGCCAAAACTTAAGTTCTCTCGCCGGACCACGCTGTAACTTTGGTTGGCAAAGCACACCTTGCACATTGAACGACTTTGTTCCCATGGTAACGGACTGGGGAATGTGCTACACCTTCAATTCAGGACTTGAAGGCAAACCAATTAGAAAAGTGGACGCTGGCGGAGTTTCATCGGGGTTGGCTTTTATTCTCGACGCAAATGTACACGAATATACTCAAGGAAAGTTCTCAGAGGGATTTAAGGTGTTGATTCATGGGCAGGGCGAGTACATTGATCAATGGGAAGGAATCAACGTAGGACCAGGACAGCATGCTGTGATAGCTCTCTCGGAGAAAAGGGTAAAATACCGAGTAGTCCATTGTGATGATATATTTTTATTGAGCGTGTGTTTTAAGAGTCAGATAAACTGTAAATGGCCAACACATCCCGGACCCTTACCCATGGGTTATTAATTCTTGGGAATGTCTACTTTCGTGTTCGGGCATTTTTTGTTTTTACTGTAAACAGTGTCACCGTTTTTTATTTTTTTTCAATGATCTTATGCCGTTTTAACGTGAATTAGTAAACTGCAGACCAAAAAAATGCTGGTGACTGCCCGTATTAGTCCTGAGGAAAAAATAGAATGAACGACCCGAAGCTTATCCTGGTTTCAGTAGCATGAGTGACAGGAGGGGGTGGGAGGGGACGCTAATTCATCACAGGGTCACCAACAACAACATGACCCCAGTACAGTGGAACCTCGATATAACGAAGGGCCAAGGGACGGGCAAAATATGTTTGCTATAAGGAGGTTTCGTTTTATCAAAGATTTTCGTTATACCGACGGCTTTGTTATATAGAGTTTTGTTATATCGAGGTTCCTCTGTACCCATTGAAACACTTGAGCTGAATAGAGAAGGCAAGAAGAAACGTTTGGCTTGATCAGGCAAGCAACGTGATGGGGTCCGATGTTAAACCTTGATCAATTCATTAAGAAATTAAATGCTATGAACTTCCAATCGTTTATTTTAATAGTTAGCCCTGCTCAACGGTATTTTTCTTGAGAAACGATCCATGTCTTCGCTATTCCGATAAAAAAAAAACACGACTAGGCGGACGCAAGAAGAAACAGATCTCCTCCAAATCCATTTTATAAATCTTATTAACACAACATATTTTTTCAGTTTAAGAACTTGGAGAAGCCATATCATACTAACTGCAGCACGAGAACATTAAAAACGTTCAAAACGTATACATCTGAAGGATGCATGTATGAGTGTGGAGCTGAAAGCACGATCAAAACGTGCGGGTGTAGACCTGCCGGATACAGAGGTATAATGATATTATTATTTCCCCCTGGATTCCAAATAATTTGCAAATCAATATCAGGTCCTTCGTAGCTTATGGCTTTGCTTTCGCACTTTCTACGAAAAACCTCTTTTTTAATCAAAGTTCCATAGCCCTAGCGGTAAACTGACCCCCAAATCTTACCCATTATGTACTGGATCTAAGCAAATTCCACGCATCTCGTGTGGCCCTTTTTAAAAAAACCAGGTGATCGTCTTTACCTAGCTAATAAGATTTTGGACTTGTGAGTTTGGCCAACCAATCAAATTGCATGAAAACTGTCCCCATTTAGCCCGAAAAGAGGACTGTTTAGGGACTTTTCAACCAACTTTGGTTTTTACTTTTGTTTTCTTTTCTTTTGTTTCATTTTGTTTGTTTGTTTGTTTGTTTCGAAAGCAAAACTGTGGACAGGTCCTCATTCATTGTTATACCTTTCGAAATAAATCAAAGCTGTACTATCACATGCATGCACATGATATTTATTTGGCCCTATGATTAATTCTACATATTTCTACACTCTTTACTTGAAAAAGCTGCTGTTTATGTTGTGTATTGTCCTTATTATAAGGTGCTCCCCAAGCTCATACTTGTGGATCAAGAACAGAACTAAATTGTGTTTACCAGGTAGATGGTGAGTAGACATTGACTAGGAGAACATATGAAGGAGGTAAATGTTTTAAGATATTGTTTGACTGAAACGGTTCTTTTAGAAGCACAAAAAAGTACATAATTATGTAAGCTATTGAAAGTCATGTTATTGAAGATTATTTACAAGCAATAACAGCGCTTGCCCAAACTACATTTACACTTGCAAAAGCCAGATCCAGAAAATGATTAAAAAAGCGATACGAGAGTTCATGCTTGAGTTCCGACCTCGAAACAGAGTGTTCCGGAGCTCACGTGTTTTACTTCTTCCAAAACGTGCAAGTTAATATCGCTTGTTAGATATAAAAAATCGTCAATAAGCCAGTATTTGCCAGCCTTTCGACTCTCCCATAGCTGAGCGAACATATTCTAGACAAAAGGTAGTGGCAGTGAGAATTGTACCGTCACAGTAAATAAATAAAATAAATAAAGTCTCTTCATTGTTCAAAAGATAGAATTACATATCTTATGTTAAATTTAAATTTAACAACAGTAGAATTGACCAACCTTTATCTTTGACTATGTAGCTGTGTTAGACGAAGAGTTCTGCGGATGCCAAATCTTTTAAATGTTATTCAGAGCAGTTCTCATCGTCCGGACCTTGAGGTCTTGTATATGCACTATAGCCAAAACTTAAGTTCTCTCGCCGGACCACGCTGTAACTTTGGTTGGCAAAGCACACCTTGCACATTGAACGACTTTGTTCCCATGGTAACGGACTGGGGAATGTGCTACACCTTCAATTCAGGACTTGATGGCAAACCAATTAGAAAAGTGGACGCTGGCGGAGTTTCATCGGGGTTGGCTTTTATTCTCGACGCAAATGTACACGAATATACTCAAGGAAAGTTCTCAGAGGGATTCAAGGTGTTGATTCATGGGCAGGGCGAGTATATTGATCAATGGGAAGGAATCAACGTAGGACCAGGACAGCATGTTGTGATAGCTCTCTCGGAGAAAAGGGTAAAATACTGAGTAATCCATTGTGATGATATATTTTCATTGAGCGTGTGTTTTAAGAGTCAGATAAACTGTAAATGGCCACAACATCCCGGACTCTTACCCATGGGTTATTAATTCTTGGGAATGTCTACTTTCGTGTTCGGGCATTTTTTGTTTTTACTGTAAACAGTGTCACCGTTTTTTATTTTTTTTCAATGATCTTATGCCGTTTTAACGTGAATTAGTAAACTGCAGACCAAAAAAATGCTGGTGACTGCCCGTATTAGTCCTGAGGAAAAAATAGAATGAACGACCCGAAGCTTATCCTGGTTTCAGTAGCATGAGTGACAGGAGGGGGTGGGAGGGGACGCTAATTCATCACAGGGTCACCAACAACAACATGACCCCAGTACAGTGGAACCTCGATATAACGAAGGGCCAAGGGACGGGCAAAATATGTTTGCTATAAGGAGGTTTCGTTTTATCAAAGATTTTCGTTATACCGACGGCTTTGTTATATAGAGTTTTGTTATATCGAGGTTCCTCTGTACCCATTGAAACACTTGAGCTGAATAGAGAAGGCAAGAAGAAACGTTTGGCTTGATCAGGCAAGCAACGTGATGGGGTCCGATGTTAAACCTTGATCAATTCATTAAGAAATTAAATGCTATGAACTTCCAATCGTTTATTTTAATAGTTAGCCCTGCTCAACGGTATTTTTCTTGAGAAACGATCCATGTCTTCGCTATTCCGATAAAAAAAAAACACGACTAGGCGGACGCAAGAAGAAACAGATCTCCTCCAAATCCATTTTATAAATCTTATTAACACAACATATTTTTTCAGTTTAAGAACTTGGAGAAGCCATATCATACTAACTGCAGCACGAGAACATTAAAAACGTTCAAAACGTATACATCTGAAGGATGCATGTATGAGTGTGGAGCTGAAAGCACGATCAAAACGTGCGGGTGTAGACCTGCCGGATACAGAGGTATAATGATATTATTATTTCCCCCTGGATTCCAAATAATTTGCAAATCAATATCAGGTCCTTCGTAGCTTATGGCTTTGCTTTCGCACTTTCTACGAAAAACCTCTTTTTTAATCAAAGTTCCATAGCCCTAGCGGTAAACTGACCCCCAAATCTTACCCATTATGTACTGGATCTAAGCAAATTCCACGCATCTCGTGTGGCCCTTTTTAAAAAAACCAGGTGATCGTCTTTACCTAGCTAATAAGATTTTGGACTTGTGAGTTTGGCCAACCAATCAAATTGCATGAAAACTGTCCCCATTTAGCCCGAAAAGAGGACTGTTTAGGGACTTTTCAACCAACTTTGGTTTTTACTTTTGTTTTCTTTTCTTTTGTTTCATTTTGTTTGTTTGTTTGTTTGTTTCGAAAGCAAAACTGTGGACAGGTCCTCATTCATTGTTATACCTTTCGAAATAAATCAAAGCTGTACTATCACATGCATGCACATGATATTTATTTGGCCCTATGATTAATTCTACATATTTCTACACTCTTTACTTGAAAAAGCTGCTGTTTATGTTGTGTATTGTCCTTATTATAAGGTGCTCCCCAAGCTCATACTTGTGGATCAAGAACAGAACTAAATTGTGTTTACCAGGTAGATGGTGAGTAGACATTGACTAGGAGAACATATGAAGGAGGTAAATGTTTTAAGATATTGTTTGACTGAAACGGTTCTTTTAGAAGCACAAAAAAGTACATAATTATGTAAGCTATTGAAAGTCATGTTATTGAAGATTATTTACAAGCAATAACAGCGCTTGCCCAAACTACATTTACACTTGCAAAAGCCAGATCCAGAAAATGATTAAAAAAGCGATACGAGAGTTCATGCTTGAGTTCCGACCTCGAAACAGAGTGTTCCGGAGCTCACGTGTTTTACTTCTTCCAAAACGTGCAAGTTAATATCGCTTGTTAGATATAAAAAATCGTCAATAAGCCAGTATTTGCCAGCCTTTCGACTCTCCCATAGCTGAGCGAACATATTCTAGACAAAAGGTAGTGGCAGTGAGAATTGTACCGTCACAGTAAATAAATAAAATAAATAAAGTCTCTTCATTGTTCAAAAGATAGAATTACATATCTTATGTTAAATTTAAATTTAACAACAGTAGAATTGACCAACCTTTATCTTTGACTATGTAGCTGTGTTAGACGAAGAGTTCTGCGGATGCCAAGTTCCTTGCTCCCAGACTAAGTATACTACAGAGGTGTCGTATTCGAAGTTTCCAGATCCTGGCACTGCAGAATCCTTTATAACGACTGGTTACTATCCTAACATACAGTACCAAAGGTAATGAACAAAGATGACAAATGTTATCCATCTGAAATGTGCGCGCAAGCAGTATAGGACCAGTTAGAGACATTTTTAATTTGCGGAGAATTATATAAACGCAGCTTGCGTCATAGCCTTTAGTTTTTACCTCATGAATTAGACAATGTTTTTTTCTTTTTTTCAGGGATAATCTCGTGCTTCTGCAAGTGGGATTCAAGTCATTGAGTTACGAGATGCAGGAACAGCAACCAGCTTATGACAGCAATTCATTGTTTGGTAAAACCATCTTCATTTTAATCTTTTTTCGAAGCCCAGCATAAGGAAAAAGCTAACCACTCTTCATATTTATCCTAGCAATCAAGCTTAACCTAATGTTATCTCATCCTCCACTCATCTCCATTTCCAGTTGCACTACCTGTCAAATAATATCCGCAATATTTATCAAAATTACTATTTCTTTTTCAGGTGAGATTGGAGGCAACATGGGATTATTCCTTGGTTGTAGCCTGCTGACTATTTGTGAATTCTTCGACTTTTTTATCGGTTTGTTGGCAACACGAAGACGCCAATTATTTAATTCAACTCATCCTGCCTAACTTAAGGCATTAAACAAAACACGTTTCTGTGAGAAAAGAAAATTTCATAGACTTATTATAAGAAACAATTCAGACTAACTGGCTTTTTGCTCCTTGCATAGCTTTCGCTTGGAAATAGATTGTTTTGAAAAGACCAGCTTTGTAATCATGAAAGAAAAACTCGTACGAATCACGACCTTCTTATTTTAAGTACAGTCACTAGACCAAATAATTTCCTAAAATCATACAGAACCAGCCCCGGTTGTTCAAAAGCAGGATAGCGCTATCCACCGGATAAATCTCTATCCAGCGGATAAGTATTAGGGAAACCAATTGCACTATCCACTGAAAAGAGATTCATCCCTCGAATAGCGCTATCCACCTTTTGAACAACTGGGGCCTGATTAACAACTATTTAGCACTAAAGGGTTGATTCACGGTATACCTGTCAAAGTATTGACCGTCACGGAGTAAAACATTTTTAAATAAAAATGACCTGTTAGCCCCCAATATGGGTTGAGTAGTATACACTACTCAGTGTTTGGATAAACTGTAATTATCTTAAGGGCCAACACAGTCCAGTTTTCTAGACATGTGTGGCTGATTTAAACCCACGGTAGAGACTGGATAGAGGCTAAACCAGACTTTGGGTTCCCATGTCTAGACTTGCACCTTTTTTCCTGCGATAGCAACGCTGTCATACAGTTTGCCCGTCCAAATTAAATTCGAAAGGGGGAAAATGTTCTTGTTTCTAAAACTTTGCTTAAGACACATCTTTTCAAAGACGCCACTTTTACTAATTAATGCTTTTGTTTTCAGTAAATTGTTTTATTGTTCCACCGTGTGGAGCAATACCTCGAAAACAAACGTAAAAAAATTGCAATTAGCTCAGAACTTTGCTGGCAGGGTAGTTTTTGCGCTCCGAACGAATGATCACATCTCTGAGGGATCGAAGTCACTTAGATGGCTTCCTATTGCTGACAAACTACTTTTAAATGATTCTCTCATGGTCTATAAGTGCCTAAATGGTCAAGCATCAGACTACCTTGGTCAAAAATTTACACGCAGACAAGCTCATCACGACAGAAATACACGATACAAAAAAGACCTGAATCTACTGAGAGGCAGATTAAAAACTGGGCAGCGATCTTTCGCCTTTAGAGGGGCCTACTTGTTTGAACAAACTACCCAAAGACATGAAGGAAGTGGCAGAGTGCCGAATGTTTAAGAAGAGACTTCTTAAAATGACGTTCATTATTTTAGTACTTAAAATTAGTTGACTAGTTTAATAATTCTTTCCTGTATCTACTTACTTGTTAAATAGTTAGCCATTGTGACTGACGTAAAGGGAGTCTGAATAAACGTATGTATGTATGTATGTACCGACTCTCCAATTATTTTTCCATGGATTTCTGCCAATTTTTAGCTTGAGCAAATGTTCCTTACGACATCTGCAAACTGCCTCTACTAGATAAACAAAGATGAATTTTGATTAATAATAAAGTAAAAACATCAAAAAGAAGGAAACTATATTTAGAGCACAAAATAAGTCAAAAACATTTACCCTGCAGTTTTATGAGAAAAGTCCCTCTTATTAGATTAAGTAATAATAACATAACACACAACAACAACAACAAAGCTGATCTTCAAATTGCCTTCAAGCGTGTTTCCAAGAATGTCTCCTAAGACAAGACTACCAAGAACTTCTTCGAGAGTCATAAATTTGCAACCAGAAGAATAAATTGCTTAAACAGGCGAAATAAAATCCATCTAAACAATCATGGCTCCTTTCTGACCATGTATCTCGGACATTGAATTTCATTTTTTTTCCAACATAAATAACAAACCTTTGTGAAGTTTAAATCATCTGTCAGGTGATGAGACAAACACTGACTAAAACAAAAGAAAAATTTTCACCCATCGATGCTGCCAGCACGATAGCACTTCAGGGTGCACAAGCCGTCTATTCTAAACCCCAAACTTTAAAGTTTAAATAATTAATGGTCAGTTAAGCAGCTATTTTACCTCAAAATATGGTAAGCAAAAAACTTAGATGAAATTATTTGCTTTAAAACCAGTACTAAAAAATAATCTTGGATAAGAAAGATCGGTTCACTTTCACCGGAGTCTTAAGACGGTGGCTTGAGTACATCAACATTTCTCTAAAGATGGAAAGGTGACTTCAACCATTATTCAACTGACTGTTTGCTTTCACTGAGTTACTAGATATAATTCCGTTCAAGCAAAGGCCGTGGATGTCGATCACTCGGTGAATCAGTGACTACGCAAAGAAACCTGTGGTCTGAAAACTGCAAACTGTAAGTGATACAGTCGAACATGGTAGTCTATCAAATCCATCGCGAGCCTGAGACTTTTACCTTCTAAGCTTATAATATAACAATCATCATCACTGTTCAAGCTTCGTATCCCAAAGACCCAAAAAAGAAGCGAGGCTGATTTCAAAGTTAGTAAAATTGATGTGATTGCCAATATTTTTTAAAACAAATGTCTTGTTTCCCCTTCAGGGTCTTACAAATATTTCTGCAGAAGATATATGTCATAATGTCTTTGGGAATATTGGCTATCACATCAAGTTTCTCCACTGTTAAGTCGACCTTGTATTTTCCTTTCATCTAGTTTAGCCAGTTATTTATAACCTTTTGGCTATTCAACTCGAACTACAGGTCGGTTCCAAACTTTGAGACGGTCCACAGTGAGTTTGAGTAAAGGTTGAGAGGCTGTTACAGTCCCTGAAATAGAGTGCTTGGGCAGCAATACTAAGCAGAATTCCCAAGCACAGGTTGATACGTTGAGTGGAGCTTGCACCTTAGCTAAGTATTATCACAACTTGTGATGATGTTATAGTATATGAATTTCAAATAAAAAAAAGAACGTCAGCTACCTATTTTAAAAACTAGGTCTTGGTATTAAGGTCTATAAAATCTCCCTATTTAATTATATCATTTGGGGAAATAAATGCGATTAGAATACTAATAAAGTAAAGTCATTATCTACCCAAAAATGCCAATGAAAATAATATTTGTGCGTGGCGAACAAAGTTGAGAATACGAACAGAAATTAAAATTTCATATCTATATCTGCAAATGTTAAATAAAGCCAAGAAAAATATGTGTACACTAAATAAATCGTTGTCGTCTCCAACCATATCGAAAGTTTTCTTACTCTTTGTGCAGCATTCAAATTAGCATATAGTTAATGCTTAATGTTCTGGGGCCTGATGATTATTCTATAAATGTATTAATAAGTGGCGAAAGTTTTCGGTACTGAATAGTTTCATGAATTTTTTTTACTAGTCGCGGATAGATTCTTAAGAATGAATTTTGTTTTGAATATTTCTTGGGGAAGGACTTCCAAGTCAACCTAAATTCGTTTTTTTAAAAAACCGAGGTATTTCATTGAAAGGGGGATGACAATCAGTTGCAATGATGTACAGGGTCTGCAACAGTTATTTAGTGTAGTTTATAATTACGATAATTATGATATCTAACTCATGACACTGTACTGAAATGCAAATCTTAAATTGATTCAGAGAATAAAAGCTGGGAATAGGAGGACTCATCAGGGATGTGGCAGGAGTTCGTCGAGAACACAACACTACATGGTGTCAGATATGTTTTTAAGAAGCGTCATATTTTAATTAGCTTAATTTGGGTGGTGTTACTGCTTGCTTCTGGAGGAAGGAGGATACTACATTTTTACAGTTTACACAGCGTTCAAAAAATATTACAACCGACCAATTAACACTGTAGTAAGCAGAAAACATGTTAAAGAAATGGATTTTCCAGCTGTTACAGTCTGCCCTCTGAACGACTTTGCTGCAAGTAAGCTGTACATGACAGATGACAACCCATTGTTTGCTTCCAGCGGGTTAAATATTAGCTCATGCGCTGTGACCTCAAAAGTACGAAGTGATCAACCTTGTGGATGGTCGCTACTTTGTGTTTTACCTGAATATGAAACTTTACGCCCCGCTCTACCAAACTGCACGAGTCAATATAGAGAAGAACTGTTGAATACAATGCAAGAATCTGCCCATTATATCGACAAAGAAAATTTACATCGTTACTACAGTCAAGAGATAGAATCCCTCGTTGGACCCAAGTGCGAATTTGATATTGCTGCAAATTGTTCAGCAAAAGATTTTGCTCCCTTGGTAACCCAATGGAGTAAGTGCTACACCTTTAACTCAGGGAAAAATGGCAAAATAAAGAGGGTGAACAGTGCTGGTGTTTCGTTTGGATTTTCTGTCATTCTTGATGCAAAGACAGAAGAATATAGTTATGGAAAGTTTTCAGAAGGATTCAAGGTGATAATTCACAAGCAGGGCGAATTCGTTGATGAATGGGAGGGAATCAACGTAGGTCCAGGACAACATGCTGTTATTGCGCTTTCAGAGAAAAGGGTAACGGTCTCCATTTGTTTGGAGTTGATGATTCGTTTTGAATGTTTGTTGTTTGTTGCTTTCTCTAACCAGTTCTAAAAGTATTTCACTCAAGAAAAAATAACCCATGGCATGCCATAGATCTAAGCCCCTCCTAATAAGTCTCAGCTCTTAAACTTTTTTGAGCTCATCAGTGTTAGTTTAAGAAATATTTCTACGAGTTACAGGAACTGAAAGAACAAAAAAATAGCTAGACACTTATTAAATTGACCAGTTAAAAGTCTTTAGCTTTATTTTTCTCTAATTGTCAAAATAAGTGAAACTGCAATTCTGGTCCGTAATTTGTTAAAACCCTTCCGGCAAACACAAGGTAGACTAAGTGGTTCCACGAATACATGTATTGCTTGCTTTTCGTTCCTCGATGTTGGTTTCAAGGGTTTGCTCGGGCATAAACGTCTGCAAAATCAACATGAAAGGGGTGGGGGAGAAAAAGAGGCAAGCGTTTCAACAACTATGACTGGGATGTGTAATGGATGGTCTAACTTGAAAACTCACCAACGGATTATTGTTATTTTTAGTACAAGAATCTGGAAAAGCCGTATTCTACCAACTGCAGCAAGAGAACTTTGGCAACGTTCCATACTTACACAATAGCGGGCTGTCTTTACGAGTGTGAGGCTGAAATGGTCATCAAGGATTGTAATTGCCGGCCCTCTGGCTACAAAGGTAGTAGCAACTAAGACTTAGAGAGCAAAGGTGTTTATTAAGAACACTTTCAATTAAAATAATCGTTTTAAAAGTAGAAGCAATACATTTGGTTGTAATGCCAAAACCGATTATCTTGTTAAGGTTATAAAACAATCAAAACGAGGGGGCGGGCGGGGGCGCAATAAGCAATTCCTGGAACTCCTAGAGGTCTATGTAATTTCAGTTGTTTTATTCTCAAACTTTCAAGGCAATTTGAGAATAAAGGAAAAAGGTGCAATCGAGTGCTTCATATTCCTGGCATATCTGGCTATTGGAAGGAACAGCAAGGGAGAGGGAAGCATGATTTTCCTTTTTCCCTAGAAGTAACCCTACTAATAAATTCATCTTATTTACGGTAATTCTTATTTCAATACTTTGCTCTTAGAAAAGGTCTCTCAGATGCACGCATGCGTAACCGAAGGGGAATTAGTCTGTGTTTCAAATGTTTCAGGTAAGAGATAACTGTGTGGACTACCGTCACACTGTCTTATTTTATTTTATTTTATTTTATTTTTTTCGTCTTTAAGTTCTCACATATCGACCCTCTTTTGCTAGTTAAAGAAATGCTGTATATCTGTGCACTTTAAAAGCTTTTAAGCCAAACGTTTCGTTGTCAACTGATCCACTCACTGGTCAGATAGAATTTTCGATATGTTATGTATACATAACTTTCATGTGAAAACAAGCCTCGCAACCAACCCAAAGACAGAAACTTATATAGTATACAAACGGTTGCAGTTTGGTCTCGACTTATTGCCACAGTATTTGTCACACAGAACAGTTTCATGTGAAGAGTATAAAGGAAAAACGAAGCATCATTACATTTATCAAGTTTTGTTTTATGAAGCTCGAAAAATAAAACAACGGATCATCTCATCGTGTATTTCCAGAAGCTTCTGTTATTTTCTAAGGAGATATAGCACGTAGGAGAAGGCGAGGGCGCACTTGCACTTTTAATGCAACTTTTTTAAGCAAGCGACATACCGTAAGAGATTATATCATTGTTTAGCAGAGAAACGATGCCGTGTAAATTTCTTCAATAGCTTCAGCGGAATATAGAATAAGATATCAGCAAATGTTGACAAAATGAAAAAGAACAATGTCTCGACTATTTTAAGATTTATATACACATTTATATACACGTAGTTTATCATGATTAAAGTTTTCAATCTAATAATCAGAGCATATTACTATCAGATTACTTAGATATCCAGTCCTGTGAGTGTGAAGTGCCTTGTAATCAGACTAAATATTACACTGAGGTGTCCTATTCAAAGTTTCCCAGTCCTGGCACAGCTAGAGTTCTACAGCTGCGCGGCTACACACGTGACTTACAATACCAAAGGTAACGTGTTTTCAATGCCTACTAGTCATCCTTAAAATGGAAATTGCCTTTCATAGCTAAATCTTGTAGGTTAAAAACAACGCTCACTCAAAAACAACACTCTAAATCAAGCAAGAAGTATATTTGGCAATCGGGTACTTGAGGAAGAGTGTGTTACAGCGAAGGCTGGCTTAAGCGGCGGCCCATTTAGGTTTTTAAGTTACGGAAAACCTGGCTGCCGTTGCAGAAAGCCGAGGAAGTTACTTAACTTTTATTCATACTTTTAACTTTATATACGGGATTATTAGAGATGGCGTTTTCAGCTTACAGCTTACAGATATAATTATAGATTTATGGATAGTCCTTCTTTGAAACTCTGTCATTCGTATTCAAGATGGTGTTCAAAATGGCAGCCATCTTGGATNTGTGAGTGTGAAGTGCCTTGTAATCAGACTAAATATTACACTGAGGTGTCCTATTCAAAGTTTCCCAGTCCTGGCACAGCTAGAGTTCTACAGCTGCGCGGCTACACACGTGACTTACAATACCAAAGGTAACGTGTTTTCAATGCCTACTAGTCATCCTTAAAATGGAAATTGCCTTTCATAGCTAAATCTTGTAGGTTAAAAACAACGCTCACTCAAAAACAACACTCTAAATCAAGCAAGAAGTATATTTGGCAATCGGGTACTTGAGGAAGAGTGTGTTACAACGAAGGCTGGCTTAAGCGGCGGCCCATTTAGGTTTTTAAGTTACGGAAAACCTGGCTGCCGTTGCAGAAAGCCGAGGAAGTTACTTAACTTTTATTCATACTTTTAACTTTATATACGGGATTATTAGAGATGGCGTTTTCAGCTTACAGCTTACAGATATAATTATAGATTTATGGATAGTCCTTCTTTGAAACTCTGTCATTCGTATTCAAGATGGTGTTCAAAATGGCAGCCATCTTGGATTTATCTGAAATTTCAGATTTATCAAAGTAGAGAAATACATAGTTTATGATTTATCATGTTTTGACTTTTGGTAGCATTCTCTTTGCCAAAAAGTGTGAATTCTGGCTAAAAAGGCAGGCTCGGCCTCATGCCACTTTTGAAGTCGCATTTCGGCGTAACCGCTTCATCCGACTGGGATCCAATTTTGTCACAATATGTGAATAGGGAATCCACCTACCTCTCCTCCCGGAGTGTAAATATGTTGTCTTCGACACTTTCTTTTCACAGGGATAACCTTGTACTTTTACAAGTGGGATTCAAGTCACTTAGTTATGAGATGCAAGAACAGAAGCCAGCATACGATAGCAATACCTTATTTGGTAAACAGTTGCAGAGTCTCTTTATTTTCCTTCGTAAACTTTTAATGTGTTAGCTAACAAAGTCGGTAAGTTATTGTCCGGGTAGCAAACGACCCTTCTCAGTGAACGAAAACTGATACTTAACTTTATCAAGATACCCCCAAAATCTAGTGGAATTTCCGGGTTCAATTGAAGATGATGAAAATGAACTTTCTTCATTTTCTAAACAAGGTCTCCGAGGAAACGTAGTTATTGAGCAAATATGTAGAAATAATGTGGAATAAACGAAGTCTGGTACCTAGGATCTATGTTTCCATAAACTGCAGATATCAGCAAACTATATAAGTTGGGCACTTAAAGACCAACCGATGTAATTATTCATTTTTGATTTATCAGGTGATATTGGAGGTAGCATGGGTTTGTTCTTGGGATGCAGCCTGTTAACTATCTGCGAGTTCCTCGACTTTTTCATCAGTCTCCTAGCAACAAGACATCGACGACCCCCTCATCCAACGTCAGTAGTAGCGTTGAAAAGTCACTGAATAACTCTGTAACTCATAGTGGAATCCATGACCTACCAGATCGGCTTTTCAAGTAATATTACTGAAAATGCTGCGATAGAAAATGGATGATCGGGAAAGGCAGTAGTACCCACTGAACTACTTAGGATACGTACTAAGCGATTTGAGTAATAATTGTTTCATTTAATAATGGACTCGCTTTTAAGTATGATTTAAAGTCATATAACATAAAGTAGGATTATCTGCCATAAACATGACATAGGGAGATATTCAGAAATATGGATTGAAAAACGAGGCACATACCCACCACCACAGCTGATTTGTTTTATGCCGACTTCACTGGGTCTGGATTCTGATTTCCCAACTTCCTGTCTTGCTAGGTTTCAATTTTTTGGTAGTACTGCATTTAATTTATCAAGTGAATAATTATATAAACGCATTTACATATACACTAAGCGGCAGTCTTTGTAGTAACATCTTTCTTTTAGCTCAGAATATCAAGGGGTAAATTGGACTTATTTCAGGTACGTCCACATTTAATTAAAAAAAGACACTCTGCTCGGCATGTGACTTTGCTCCCACGGTAACCTAACGGGTGAAGCCTTTAAATCGGCCTGTGATAAATATTGAAAAACATTTGACAGCACTCAGTTTCCTGAGTACTGTTTGTTATTAAAACTATTTAGTTTTCAGTATCCTTAGCTGGTCGATGAAGCACACCCATTCTATAGCACACAAAATTACAGAGTGGCATTTTTCGTTTAAAATTACAATAAACCTATGATAAACAAAGCAAATTCAATTTTAATAATTAATGGCAGGCTGAGCAGCCACAAGAAAAACTGGTGAGAAACCAAGCGCTTTGCACTTTACCCAATTAACATTATAATTTGCTCAACGCAAAATCCTGCTTTTAGCCAAAGACTGGCGGAACATTTTAGACGTATTTTGGCTGAAAGGTGATATCAGAGTTTCATTGGGTATTTGTTTTCCGTTGCTTCCAATTTAATGATTTCATTTCTTAAGAAGAAGCTTTTCTGTTTGAGGATAGTTCGATGAAGCACTGATTGCGGCGTAACTCACCGCAAACCTTATCATCGGAAAAAAACTGCAACAGCACTGAAGGTAAGCACGCAAATGAAGGTAGAATAATTAATCTGAGCACAGTTCGCAGAGACTTCGGGTGACTGTGAGACAAGCATACTAAAATGTTTCTGTCAAATCCAAACCCGAGACTTTGCCTTTCAGCATTCTGTGGTAAAATAGGAATGAAGCAGTATTGCTGCCACATCTTAGAACCAATACGTAGTTAGGAAATTCGAAGATATAGACCTTCAAATTTCCTCAGGCTTCAGTTTTATATTCACGGTTAGCTTCAATCAAGACAGGCACAAACTTCGAGTATTACAGTCGATCTAAAAAACAGAGACCCCCTTAAACAAACTAACGTAAAGGCGTATACTTGTAAAGCATTATGAGTGAGACATGGAAAGTTTACACATTGTAACTTACCGTCATAATTTTGAGACTAGGGACTTTAAGATCCAACGACGCGACGGCAACGAAAACGTCAAAAAAAAATATAGGTTTTGATAAGCAAAACAACTACCTGGCACGTGCATCACACTTTATTTGTACAATTCGTTACCGCTTTTGCGCGAATACACCGTGAAAATGCCTAATTTCGACTTTTATGACGACGTAGATAAGCAACGACAAAGTATTACATTATCTTTCTGAACCTGGATTTGGTCCCTTAGAATACAAGGCAAAGTAACTGAATAGAAATAATCGCGATAAAGACTGAAAGAAAGCAAATTCACTTTTTAAGCGACGTTTTCGTTGCCTTCTCGTCGTTGGATTCTTCAGGAAGTCCCTGCTATTTTATCGGCTATGAAATTAACTCTTTTGAAAGTAAAGAGGGTCTGATAAGTAAACAGTTAAGGTACCGAAGTGATTGAATTTGATTCTTAATCAAAAGTATACCACGGCTGTTGGTTGCTGCAAGAGAAATAAATGAGATACTTGCTTGCGAATGCTTTTCCCTCCGGGCGTAATATTATGTTCATAAGATGTTAATCTACCCTTAGTAATTAGATAAATTAATACAAGTCAAGTCTTGGAGTTATATCAACTATCACAGTTCATCGACAAACCTACACGTATTTGCTGGATGTATGCGTCACTTCCGGTCCATAGAAGATTGTACATTCTAATGTGATACGGGTGGGATTTTGTGATCACGATCTTGTTTGCTTAGTACGAAAAATTAACAAGAACTAAAAATCCAACACAATGAAACAAACAGATGTTAGAAACTTAAAAAAATTGATACTGAAAATGTCCTTCAGGCTTTGAGAGAAAAACCCTGGGAATTGTAAGTCTTGAAAATGACGTTAATTCAAGGTGGATGTGTTGGAAAACAATGTTTCTAGAGGTTTTGGATAAGCACCGCGCCCCAATTCGAACAAAGCGGGCGAGAAACAAAGGAGTTAGTCTCCCCTGGGTAAATATTGAGATTAAGCAAGAAATGAGGGAGCGAGACCGTCTCAACCGAAAAGCTACTATTAACAGAGCGAATATAATAAGGGTAGAGCAGTTTTGTAATTTTTCTTTTAAAAATATTGAAAAAAAAACTTGAAATTGAGATGATTGCAATCTATATAAATCCGCTAGAAATGCTTTATAAAACATTGTTTTGCGACAAGCAAAATCGAATTATTATGCTCATCGACTTGACAATGAATGTGGCCATCCAAGGCAAGCATGGAGAATCATCAACAACATTCTCGGGCGTAATAATCAACATAGAGGAACGACGTATAGGTGACCCCTTAAACTGTAAATCAAAAAACCTTATCTACCTTCTTGAATGTAAAAAATTTGGCAAACAATACGTTAGGGAACAAAGCACCAACTCGACGAACGCTTTGGGGAGCATCGCCGCTCCATCTTCCACTATGGCCAATTTCCTATTTCTACTCCAGTAGTGGTGTAGGTACCGAATTAACCCCTTTTTTGCGGATTAATTAATTTGTGGAATACATTAACGCCGATGATATCATAGCCTTTTGTCTTTATCTCATGAATAAAATGCGCAGGAAACTCAATAAGATAAGGTCATGTGCTATTTTAAGGGATTTAACCGGTCTGACAGATTTTCTAGTGTCTAAAGCCTGGTTTTCACAATTCACTAGCGCATTCTAGCGCAAAAGCAATTAAGCATAAGGAAATACGCAGGCGCAGAATGGCATATTTGACTCAATTCTCGATACCAGGTCTCCTCAACCCGATGATAAACAAGATGGCGGACGAAGCGTCCGCCATATTGCTTTTGATATGTTCGCATAAGCTCTGGGTCAAATTGACCTATGATTGGTTCACGGCTTTGCTCGTGCTTATGCTTGCTCTTATCTCGAAAAACGGACAAGTTCGTTCTTCTTGTGCTTATGCTTATGCTTATGTGCTACTGAAAACCAGGCTTAAGGAATAAACTCAAACTTCCCTGTGACTTCAAATCACTGAGCCGTAACGTAATTATGCAAGTTCTATTTTCAGCCGCTATGATTGTCCTAGTTCCGGTTCAATGATTCTTGGCCTCAAATCGTGCATGTTTTTTTGTTTTTGTAATTTTTTAATATTTGGTATTGAAGATTTTACTGATCCAGATCAGATGCGGCTGACCCTCACTGGTTTGTCGTTATGGGTTTGCCTTCACAAGTGTTGTTTTTTATCTATGCTAGCGTAGATGAATAAATTTAATCTTATCTTATCTGATCTTATCTTATCTTACGTCACAACATCCGGCTGAATATCAAGGGGTCATGGGTATTTCATTAAGATAATGGTCCCTATGAAAGTGTTCGAAAAGTGTTGTCCTATGTTGACCTCTTTCAAGGCGGTCAGTTCTTTATCTAGGCCTTACGTATAATGCCCCGAAGGATAATTTCTATCAAAACTTTCAACCTAAACGTGGGTTTTCGCGAGAAAGACATTTTATTGAAGACCAGTTGTTGCTATTAATAAGGGTTTGTTACTATTGGTATGGAATCTCCAATGATCTAAGTCTAATGATCTTCATCTTACGCTTAAGATACTGACAGCTGAAAATCTGAAATTCCAACAGAGAATGAAACCTGGAAAGAAGCAACATTCTGACTAGAAATGTGGCAGGAGTTTGTCGACAACACGACACTACATGGTATCAGATATGTTTTAAAGAAACCGCGTCATATTCTTATTCGCTTAATCTGGTTTGTGCTACTGCTGACCTCTGGAGGATACTACATTTTCACAGTATACACAGCTTTCACTACATACTTCGACCGTCCTATCAACACCCTAGTAAGCAGGAAAAATGTCGAAGGAATGGATTTTCCAGCAGTCACAATCTGTCCTCAAATGACTTTGCTAAAAGCAAATTAAGCTATACATGACAGATGACAACCCATTATTTGCTTCCACTGGGTTAAATATTAGCGCCTGTGCCGTGACTTCAAAAGTAAGAGGCGATCGACCTTGTGGATGGTCACTTCTTTGCGCTTTGCCTGATTTTCAAACCTTCCGCCCCGCTATACCAAACTGCACAAGACAATACAGTAATGATCTTTGGAGTGAACTTCAAAAATCTCTCCATTATATCGACAAAGAAGTTATGTATCGTTACTTCAGCCAAGAATTAGACTTTCTCATTGGCCCAGCATGTAGCTTTAAAATAAGTATACATTGCTCAGCAAGAGATTTTGTGCACTTGGAAACTAAATGGGGTAAGTGTTATACCTTTAACTCAGGTAAAAATGACAAAATAAAGAATGCGAACAGTGCTGGCATATCGTTTGGATTTGCTGTCATTCTCGATGTCCAGACAGAAGAATATAGTTATGGGAAAGTTTCAGAAGGATTCAAGGTAGTGATTCATCAGCAAGGTGAATTCATCGATGAATGGGAAGGAATCAATGTTGGGCCAGGACAGCATGCTGTTATTGCGCTTTCGGAGAAAAGGGTAACGTTCCCCACTTGTTTTCAGTGAAAGTGGCTGACTGTGACGCTGTTTGTTATCTTTTTAAAAAGCTAACTTTTTTCACATCATTTGTATTTTAAAAATTGAAAGTGTCTCCTTTCGTCGTAGCATTCATTCATCGTAACATTTGTAAGACAGGGATCGCGCTTAAGTTACTTTGTTTTCAATCGCGTCCTTAACCAAACCTGATCAGTCACGATCGGCACTCTCCCTTTTGCGACCATTCGTTGGGACAGAAAATACAGAAAAATAACGGTAAACTTGTCCAAGCGAGTTTCGCCGTATTCTATTAAAGTTTGAAAATTATTGAATCGTTGAAATAGATGCAATGTGTCTGAAAGGCAATTCTTATACAGTAATAAACAAATAGCAATCAAAAATATTTTTCTACCCTGCTCCCTGCCCCCTAGAAAGGATACAATTTCTCACGTTCTGTGCCAAGAATACTATCTTTTTCAGATTTCATGAAGTGGTGACGGTAACGGTAGATGGAAAGGGTGGAGGATCTTGTCTCAAGACTGAGAAGCAATGCAATGCAATTGGTCTTCTAATTTTTTGAAGCTATTTGATTTGGCATTCTTTAGTACAAGAATCTGGAAAAGCCGTACTCTACCAATTGTACCAAGAAGACTTTGAAAACCTTCGATACTTACACAGCAGCGGGTTGTCTTTTTGAGTGTGAAGCTGAGATGATCATCAAGGATTGTAATTGCCGACCCTCTGGTTACAAAGGTACTAGCCATTAAGAATTAAAGAATTACGAATTTTAACGAAAAAAATATTTGGTTGTAAATCCACTAGAATTAGCCCCTTTTTTGGGTAGGAATCTCATTAAAGAAGGCAGGAATACCTTAACGTCGATGACGTAATAGCCTTTTGTCTTTATCTCACTGATAAAATGAACAGGAATCTCATTATCCCCCATCTTTTGTATTCTTAATACAACAGAAACAATAGACTCACTTCGGTTGAAATCGGTGTAATAGCTTTTTTGCTATTTTAGATGGATGATGTCATAGTTTACTTTTAATTATGTGCGTCATATCCTTATCTTGTTATGAAGCCACCTGTGACTAAAAAAGTGAGCTGTAAGGTATTATGCAAGTTCCATTTCCTGCCTCTTTCATTGTCTAACAATTGTTAAAGTCCCGGTTCAATGATTCTGGGCGCGCAAATCGTGCGAATGACGGCGAAGGCAAAACTAGCTCTTTCTAGCACGAAACACAATGTTTTACTCTTCCTGCTGCTCCTTTACAAGTAATTTTTTATTTTATTTGCCCCTTTTTTTATTTTTTATTTTTATTTTCCCTCCAACACATCGACCCTGCATTGACCTACATCGACCCCACTTCGACACCACATCGACCAGCGCCAAATGTTTTCCTCCACCACCACCACATTTCTATTGTCTTCCCTCCACCACCACCACCACATTTCTATTGTTTTCCTTCCACCACTTTCACCCCATTTCTATTTTTTCCTCCTCTTCCTCCTCCTCATTTCTAATGTTTTCCACCAAACAGGTTATTTGAGTTTGGCTTTTTGACCTGAGTTTGGCCTTTTCTGCCTGTATTTCACCTTTTTGGCCTGTGTTTGGCCCTTTGCCCTGGGCTTGGCCTGTCTGATCCTCAAAAATAACCTGTTTGGTAGAAAAACAATAGAAATGAGGAGGAAGAGGAAGAAAACAATAGAAATTTGGTAGTGGTGGTGGTGAAAAAAAATAGAAATCACGGGAAACCCAGGTTCTCCGATAGTGCCACGGTACAGTTCCATTAAAATTACAGTGTTTAAATAGGGTAAGAATACGATCCTAAAATTTGTAGGAAATACTTAATAAAGGTCAATGAAACTTACTCTCCCACTAGTTGTTGTTGTCCTTTATGCTCAAACGAATTTTCAGGAGAATTTGCTCAATTTCACCCTCCATACAACAACAACAACAACAAAACTTTATTAATAAACAAATAAAATTACAAAAGTATTGCCCGCAGCTAGCAAGGCTATTCGAGGTGGGACAATGTGTGCAAAATATAAGAGATAAAGACTAAGGCTATTAACTAAGGAAAGTTTACAGTTAGTTACAAATAAATATAATACAATATAATGCACAAGGTAGGAGGCACGAGATGGCATCTCGGCCGCCATGCTACCTTTCCAACACAACTTTTTCCACGAAATTCGAACTCCAACGGTAACTAAACATGCTAGGATCGTAGAAATAGGATAGCGTCAGATATAGAAATCAATGAAGCTTTCCCAGATAGAGAAACGAATCCAGCAGACTTTGACAAACTCGAAGGATATAATCTACAAAGGCCGAAAGTCGTCGCGCCGAAGAAGCCGGGCCAGATCAACGCGCGGCCAAGCAAATGAGGCCTGGGCACTGTACAAATCAAATCCATCCTGGGTGTCCTAGGTTGACCTTTATCGGGACCGATACGTAGCTTTTCCAACGTTAGTCTCCCCTGCTGGAAATACATTTGCTCCAAGGTTATTGTTCACTAGATCCAATCTTGTCCTCCTTAATGAGATTCCTACCCAAAAAGGGGTTAATTTCTCTCCTAACATACTACTTCCACTTTCATGACCAAAATATTTAGGCAAAAAGCTATCACTGAAACGCCTAGTTTGTTCTTAATTCCGTTTAATTTCTCCAAACTCCAGGACACAAATAAAATCAAAAGTTGCAGACGAAAGCAGTAAATTTCTGATGTGCGATAAAGAAAAGAAAACCTTTAAAAACGTGGTTCACTTTTTTATGCAGCCCACTCGCAGCGCCCTACCGGTGGATCTTTAAAATTTTTTCGCCCTTATTTTTTTTAGGTAAGGACGTCGAGATGCACGCGTGTGTAACGGAAGGGCAGTTAGACTGTGTTTCAAAGCTTTTTGGTAAGGAATACCTGTTTTCCAACACGTTAAGCACTTTTCCTTGCGGAAGTTTCCCCATTTCGTCTTATGTGCAGCGAAAATGTCGAATTGTAAGGCTTGATTTGTTGTATAAGTTTCTTTTTTATTGACTTACTGTCTACGTTTATGTATTTATTTTCTTCTGGCCCTTCGAAAGATCATGAACTGATTTTTCTCCTTCACTTGCCTACTCTTTTTTCCCAACTTCGCAGGTAAAAAGAGGAGGCGCTAGAAGAGTAATTTAGAGTCATGTTAACTGCAAACGGTAAACGTGAATTTGTGCCGCGTGACCAAGTTTTCACTTATTTGTCCTTAAGTGCTCTTTACTTCTAAACTGTTTTTATTGATCTGCTCATGTTCTATTTTGAAAACTTCTTAACTTGAGTCTGCCGTTAGCCGTTTAGCGTAGACGTAACTCTAAAGCTCCCAAATATTTTCAAACGTAAACAATTACCACCCATTGGCTAAACTACGTACATGCAGTCAATCATGTTACAGTCTTTAATTTCCTAATCAGAACATTCACATTTTTTTATTAGCTAACGTAAACAGCAAGTCCTGTGAGTGTGAGGTTCCTTGTTATCAGACCAAATTTAACACTGAAGTGTCCTATACAAAGTTTCCTAATCCTGGACTGGCTAAATACCTGCAGTTGCAAGGCTACAACCGTGATTTTCAATACCAAAGGTAACTCTACTTCAACTTTTAATAATTATCTCTTAAATAAAAAGAATTTGTAATGATAATGTGAAGTGTCAGCCGGGATTTGACTGTAATTCATTTTTGCAGACACCTGCTTAGTACTGACACCTCATTATTACAGACAACTTGCTTTGTCCCTGGGGAAACAAAGCCTTTACATTTTCTCTAAATTCAACGCGATAAATACGGACACCCCGTTTATACCGACGCTTTTTATGACTCCCTCAGTGTCCGTATTAAAGGAGGTTAACCTTTTGGCCATTGCTACGACAAAAAAAGTGCAGAGGTACTGAAAAAAAAATTAATTCACTTTTTCCCCACAGGGATAACCTTTTACTTTTACAAGTTGGATTCAAATCTCTTAGTTATGAGATGCAAGAACAGAGACCAGCTTATGATTACAATTCCTTGTTTGGTAGAGTATTATTGAGTACATTATTAGCCTTAGTAAACTAAGACGTGTTAACTAGCAAAGTCGGTGAGTACCTTCCTATAATAATGCTCAGAGCTGGTAACGCATGATCCTGTTCAGTAAAGAAATACAAGTAGTGACAGGCGTTACCAATATGATTAAATCCATTTTCGGCGGAAATTACACTAACTTGAGGGAAAGTATATGAACGCGGANTAACGTAAACAGCAAGTCCTGTGAGTGTGAGGTTCCTTGTTATCAGACCAAATTTAACACTGAAGTGTCCTATACAAAGTTTCCTAATCCTGGACTGGCTAAATACCTGCAGTTGCAAGGCTACAACCGTGATTTTCAATACCAAAGGTAACTCTGCTTCAACTTTTAATAATTATCTCTTAAATAAAAAGAATTTGTAATGATAATGTGAAGTGTCAGCCGGGATTTGACTGTAATTCATTTTTGCAGACACCTGCTTAGTACTGACACCTCATTATTACAGACAACTTGCTTTGTCCCTGGGGAAACAAAGCCTTTACATTTTCTCTAAATTCAACGCGATAAATACGGACACCCCGTTTATACCGACGCTTTTTATGACTCCCTCAGTGTCCGTATTAAAGGAGGTTAACCTTTTGGCCATTGCTACGACAAAAAAAGTGCAGAGGTACTGAAAAAAAAATTAATTCACTTTTTCCCCACAGGGATAACCTTTTACTTTTACAAGTTGGATTCAAATCTCTTAGTTATGAGATGCAAGAACAGAGACCAGCTTATGATTACAATTCCTTGTTTGGTAGAGTATTATTGAGTACATTATTAGCCTTAGTAAACTAAGACGTGTTAACTAGCAAAGTCGGTGAGTACCTTCCTATAATAATGCTCAGAGCTGGTAACGCATGATCCTGTTCAGTAAAGAAATACAAGTAGTGACAGGCGTTACCAATATGATTAAATCCATTTTCGGCGGAAATTACACTAACTTGAGGGAAAGTATATGAACGCGGATAACATCTCATTATGATATTAAACTATAAGCTAATTTGTACGTGACATTACACCTGCCATGTTAGTGGTCTAACAAAGAAACAACGAATCCCCTTCCTGGTTAAGTGGCTTTATCAAGTCATCGGCGTTAATGTTTTCCCCTGTAAATAAATGAGATTCCCAGCCTTAAAAGCGTCAAAACTGGTGCTTCGTATACTACTTTTATCTGGTTCAATTTTAAGTCGTTAACAAGGTCTCCAAGTAAAAGTTAATGGACAAAAGCATAGAAAAATGGATATTCTACATAATCATCAACTTAAAAACTCGCATTGACTAGCCAGTCTCATTACGTGAACAGGATGCAATATGATTAATGTTTCAATACACAGTTGATGTAAGCAAATTCCATTTATACACATCTTTTGTTATTGGGCTAATAGACCTATTTGGATTGTTTGTTCATTACTCAGGTGATATTGGAGGTAGTATGGGTTTATTCTTGGGGTGCAGCCTGTTAACTATCTTCGAGTTCCTTGACTTTCTCATCAGCCTCCTAACAAGACGACTGCATCGACGATTCCCTCATCCGATGTCAGTAGAAGAAGCACCGAAAAATCAATGACACTTTTCCAGCACGCTTCTCGGGAATCTAGAATGTTCCAAAGCTATATAAACTCACAAGTTTTTTACAGTAACAACCAGTAAAAATAGTCTAAATGACGTAAGATGACTTTTTAGCAGTTAAGTTTATTTAGAAACTGCGATAGGTAAGCTTTTTTTTTTTTTCGTATTGCGCACGTAAGAGCTAATTCAGCCTCGATTGACAATAGCCATAACAACAAATGTCCTCCACTGAAAATTGTTCACGCACTCGGTCCTCTGAGAAAAATAATCACCAGAAGACTCGTGGGTGAGCTGTGCCGGGAAACCTTGACTCGTCTCTCCAGTTTGCTAGCGTGTTTTCTCTCTTTTTCCTCACCATTTCTTGCCACGATTGCCCCTTTGCATCGTCCCTACTACATTTAAGCCCCTATACCATGGAACACATACTATCACTTCTGGAACCAATACTATTTTTACTGAAACCCCTTCTTTCTATCCTAGAACCCCTACTATTTATGCCTGGAACCTAGACTATCTAACCTGAAAAACCAACTTTCTATCCTGGATATTACCAAATATCCCTACTGTCTTAACTGGAACCACTACTTTCTACGCCTGGACATTAAGGGGTAGGCCTGGCTAAAAGACATCAAGTAAATCTCCTGTATCTGAGAAGCTTAAAAGGTTATGATTTCCGTATGTACACTCACAACTTTTCCTACCCGTTGAGGGTGAAGGCTTTCTGGTTTTCTTAACCCTCTCCTTTACCGACCTTTGAATAAGCCACAGCTTAGCTTTCATTACACAGAAATGTACCTCGTGTAAACTGACGCGGTTTGTAAAGCTTGTTTAATAAGCTTAAGGAGTGGTATTAACTTTCGGAATTAAAGAAGGTGTGCCATTAGCCATTTGTCTATGTTGTATATGCAGTGGTTTCTTAAAACTGTTTTCGTTACGAGTTCAGTACAAAGGCTATCAATAAATAAGTAGGCCACCCTTTATGTTCACAGCCTTTTAATCCAATGGAAAAGCTGAAAAAGGCTACTGCAGTTTGGTCGTGTGGTGTCTTAAATCAATTAAATGTGTAATCAACTCGCTGTCCATATCCTGAGTAATAACTGCACATTTGTACTCAAGTACAGAGTATACTCAAGTATACTCCACCCAAGGTTGAGTTCGATTGATCGTATTCCGGAATACAAATACACAGAAAATTGCGACAAATCCCTTTAAGCGAGTTTAATGAAACTCGAGTAAAATTGACGCAAGTCGAGGACTTTGAGTCAGCAACTTTGAATTTCTTGTTTTGAACGTACAATAGATACGGACTTATTAGATAGGGAATTTGCAGCTTATAGGATACAGTGTACTGTATCAGGAATCCAATTGAAACTCACTAAAAAACTCTGTAACTCGTAATGGGATCCATGACCTACCAGACCGGCTTTTCAAGTAATATTAGTGAAAATGTTGCGTTAGGAAACGAATGTTTGGGAAATTTAGTGATAGCCAACTACTTTGGAAAACACATGTGTCTGTCCTAATATTATTACTCTGCGAACAGAGTCTCCTTCGATCTTCATAGATAAGTCGGGAAGAGGAAGGAACCTCTGCCAACACCCTCGACAATTCATATTGAGCATGCTCCAAATTCAATTTTTTTTAAGTCAGTCCACTGCGTTTTTCCGCAAATGTAAATGTCAGCGGGAATGTACCGGTTCTTTTTCGCCCTTCTGCTTCTGTGTTTCCTCTGGATTTGGAAGCTCTAAAGGAACAATTTCACCTTTGGAATTCAAAATTGCCATGTTTCAGTGTAAAGAAGTTAAAAAAATCTTACAGCTAAAGGACTTGTCAGAAATTAGCAGGGAGGAGGGGGAGGGTGGGAATTTTAAATTTGGGTTCGGAAATTAGGTGAACCCTCCCCTTGAGCTTGGCCTAAAATATCATGACCCTCCCCACCTTACAGAATTGAAAGAAAAATGTTCCAGGCTCTTTAAGGTGCAGTATTGCAAGCCAACAAGAAAAAAATGGAAATAAAAGGAAAGCAAAAAAAGCTAGGGCAAAAAGAATGGAAGTTAACTGCAAAAGAGTTATTGAAACCATTGCACCTCAGTAAGAGTCGCATGATGTTACAGAGCCTATTGGTCCATTATCTCTTCATTATGAAGGAATAAGTGGGCTCCTCAAAACACAAAGGCCATATATCCAATACGCCTTTTTTAATTATCAAGCAATATCTACGCGTCAACTTAAATGAAAATGATGATGATGATGAAAGTGATTGTATCAATGCTGATGACATAAATGATGATGATCAAGATGCTCACAGCAGCATTGATGGTGATGGTGAAGACAGTGATGAAAAGGATAACCAAAACTCCAATAACATTAATAACAACATTATTCATAATAAAAATGCAAGAAGACTCTATAGCATTGTTGTAAATGAAAACTAGATGTCTGTTAAGTTCTTGCAATTATAGTACTTCACAGTTTATATCCGTAATGTTCCGTTGTTCCTTTTTTGCCAAGTAAAGAACTTCCTTTTTCTTCTGTGGGTGAACCTCTATATGATCACAGGCATATATTTTCATGACCCTCCCCCTTTTAACTGCCCATTTTTCATGACCGCTCCCTTTTCTGAGTCTCAAAAAGTTTTGACCCTCCCTTTACGACCTTTTGTTTCCTAAGAGGTTCGCTAAGATGTAGAGGCGAGAAAGGGAAGAAAGCGCCGGACACGGACATCGTAGAAAAACACAAAATCCAAAGACGTTTTTGGCATCGCAGGTGTTATCCACAAACAGCTGTAAAAGAATAAGCATAGATATTGTTTCTTAAATATTTTTGTTCAAAACCCATTTGTTAATCCTTCCAAGAACTTCGCGTAACACTTACTGGATTGTGGATCCGTTTACGCAAGTAAAATCGGCTAAGTACATGATTAAATCCAAAACAAAATCCACCTCGAATTTGGGTGAATTGTCCAATTTTTCTAAAACTGAACGTTCAATCTACAATTTACTCAAAATTCCTGCATGAAATTAAAGCGACAGCTATTTGTTTTGTTATGGAGCGTGGGCGCAGAAAGAGTCAGCAAAACTCCAGAATATGGGTGCGTACACAGAGAAAACTGGTTTATCCAGTATAAAACTGACTCATCCAAAAAGCTGGATGATCGGCAGGTCAAACGATTTAGATGATGTCGGCAGAGTCGCCTCCTCTTTCCCGACTTATCTAGGAAAGATCGAAGCGACTGTACTAGCAGGGTACAATATTATAAAACTTGAACCGAATTTTCGGTCCCTGTTCTACCGATGTTTATGAGAATAAGTTTCCATTAATGTTTTTTGTTTGTATAACATGCCTCAGTCAAGGTATTTATTTGTATAAATCCCTCAAACAAGAGATTTGTGCACATAAATTCCTGATTAGAGCGGTTTTCACTTGACTGTCGAAAGTAATTGGTTTTGGTTTTAGTTTTGGTTTTACTACGCCCTTTGGTTGGCTAGTGTATTTACTTTGGTTTTGGTTTTACGACAGTCAAGTGAAAACCGCTCTAATAGTTATGAATTCAATTCATCAACCCCGCCCTTCCCTGCTACGTTATTAAGCCCTCGCCAGACTTTCCGTTTGTTGAATATTCAAGAGGGTTGTACGTTAAATTAAATAAAGGTTGTTGAATAACAAAAAAAAGTTGGGAATCATGAAATAATCTCTTATGACATAAAGTAGGCTTACTTCAATAACTATTGAATTTCATTTGTAGGCGGCCATTTCCGAATTGCCCAAACCTCAGCTTCAATCGAGGCTACAATAGGTGCGAAGCCATCGACATAAAATTGGTTTTCATTCTCATGCAAATAATGGCTGCGGCCGCACTTGGCAAGTTAACCGGGTTAGTTTTTGAAAATCCAGGTTAAAAAATCTTCAGAACGTAAGTTGGTTAAAAGAGTTTAACCAGGTTAATTTTCATCAGCGGTAGGACTCGAGTTAGGCTTTCCCAAAGTCATTCAATGTCGCGCGGTTTTTTGTCGTTTTCTTTCGCTCGCTTGAGTCGCTCATAACGCCCGCCTAATAGTGACTGACAAAATTTGACCCCGTATAACTGATAAAAAGAGGTCGACTTCTTAAAAGTCTTAATTCAATTGTATTAAGAAAGAAAAACTGGACTTGGAGCAAAAGAAGTAGTTTCGAAACTGTTGTTCTTGCGTGCATGGTAATTAAAGCCAACATTTGGACCATTCTCACGCGTAGGCGGAGATGATCGACTAATTAAGGTTAACCTGAGTTAAACTGCCTAGCGAGGTAGTAAAAAAGCTAACCTGGTAAAGTAAATCTATTGTTCTTGCTTGATTTGCATAACCCTGTTAGAACTGGGTTAAGACTGTGGAAGACCATGCCGCACCCGCAGTTTTTTTAAACGAGTTAACTTTAATTAGTTAATTGGAAATAACTCGGTTAAGACCCCAAGTGCGGTCGCAGCCAATATATTTGTGAAGGTTTTGCACTTAGCCTCGTTTTGAAAGCGAGAAATTGGAAACGGCCTATTAAAAAGGTACACCTTGCTCAGCAGGCGGCTTTACTTCCATGGTAACCTCACGAGTCGAGTATTTATGCCTCTAACTGGTCGGCCGAGAAAAATATTGACAAACAGTTAACCTCTGTACTGTTTGTTACCCAAGGAATCCGCCAGACTGCCCCAACTTTATTAATTAAAAAGAAAATGAAAATAAGTGGACAACTAAAGCCTTTTTTGCTATTAATCGTTTTCTTTATGTATGCAGTGTTATGTCAACGAAACTTACAAAACTTTTATTTTAACCCAGGGGTTTCGATCATAATCTGTTACTGAACAGGTGTCGATCATATTTAAGGCAAATTTTCCTCTTGCAGATGTTGTAGTTAATTTTTTCTTCTCAGGTAATTTTCATTTTCTTTTGTTTCAACTTCATTAGTAGGCATTACCATACCCCCCCAAAAAAACAAACAAACAAAAATTACCTGAGAAAAAAAAATTAACTGCAACATAGATTTTCCACCTAGGTGTCGTTATTTGAAGTCGTTTGCCAGAGACGTTGAATTACAAGTTACCAACGCATTATTATTATGCATGACTAACTATTTAGTGTTCAATGTATTTAGGCGGTTGATGAATTACAACCATTCTACAGCGAACAGCTACCACAATTTGATTACAAGGTAACTTTTTTCGTTCAATTACAAACAGCCTACTATAAACAAATTACATTCATTTTTAATAATTAATAGAAAGCTCAGCAGCTAGTTTACAGAAAAACTGCAGGAAGTAAAATAGTGCTTTGCACACCCGATTAACATAATNCCCTGTTAGAACTGGGTTAAGACTGTGGAAGACCATGCCGCACCCGCAGTTTTTTTAAACGAGTTAACTTTAATTAGTTAATTGGAAATAACTCGGTTAAGACCCCAAGTGCGGTCGCAGCCAATATATTTGTGAAGGTTTTGCACTTAGCCTCGTTTTGAAAGCGAGAAATTGGAAACGGCCTATTAAAAAGGTACACCTTGCTCAGCAGGCGGCTTTACTTCCATGGTAACCTCACGGGTCGAGTATTTATGCCTCTAACTGGTCGGCCGAGAAAAATATTGACAAACAGTTAACCTCTGTACTGTTTGTTACTCAAGGAATCCGCCAGACTGCCCCAACTTTATTAATTAAAAAGAAAATGAAAATAAGTGGACAACTAAAGCCTTTTTTGCTATTAATCGTTTTCTTTATGTATGCAGTGTTATGTCAACGAAACTTACAAAACTTTTATTTTAACCCAGGGGTTTCGATCATAATCTGTTACTGAACAGGTGTCGATCATATTTAAGGCAAATTTTCCTCTTGCAGATGTTGTAGTTAATTTTTTCTTCTCAGGTAATTTTCATTTTCTTTTGTTTCAACTTCATTAGTAGGCATTACCATACCCCCCCAAAAAAACAAACAAACAAAAATTACCTGAGAAAAAAAAATTAACTGCAACATAGATTTTCCACCTAGGTGTCGTTATTTGAAGTCGTTTGCCAGAGACGTTGAATTACAAGTTACCAACGCATTATTATTATGCATGACTAACTATTTAGTGTTCAATGTATTTAGGCGGTTGATGAATTACAACCATTCTACAGCGAACAGCTACCACAATTTGATTACAAGGTAACTTTTTTCGTTCAATTACAAACAGCCTACTATAAACAAATTACATTCATTTTTAATAATTAATAGAAAGCTCAGCAGCTAGTTTACAGAAAAACTGCAGGAAGTAAAATAGTGCTTTGCACACCCGATTAACATAATAAATTGATTGTAAGATTCTTGTTTTAGCCGAAGAATGGTGGAACATTTTCAAACTTTGATTCAGGCTATTGGTTTTCCGTTGCTTCCTATTTAATAATTTTTTTTATTGAGCAAAAGCTTTGATGTCAGTTCCTTACCGATCGCTTGGTGAAGTACTGCCGGGTAGCAGCATATCACCCACAACCTGTGCGAAAACCGACTTTAAGTGACGGTAAGCATACCAGATTCGGGTGGGGTTATTAATATGCGAATATGCTACGATGTTTCTATCGAATCCAAACCTGAGACCTTATCTTTCAACATTCTTAAAATAAAATAGGACTGAAACAGTATTACTGACATAGCTTAGATCCAAAACAGTTGAGAAGTTCCCTCGGCCTTCAGTGTATCTTTGTGAGTATTTAGATTAAAAGTATGTTAGCTTGAGTCAACACGGGCACAAACTTCGAGACTCCCAGTTCGCCATCCAAATTATGTAAGACCGACTTAAAGACGTGAATCAGTTTAGAAAAGCGTTATGTGTGAGACACAGTGAAAAACGTTCTGAGAGTCAATCAGCTATGAAATTAAGTGTTTCGAAAGCGACATTGCCTTACAAGTACACAGTTAAGGTGCCGTCAATTAATTGAATTTGATTCCTGATCAAAAGTGACACTGTCGCTCGACTGAATAAGCTGAAATATGGCAATACAACCATGATGATATGCCCCTCGCGCTCCTTTACCAAACTATAAGTTGTCTTCCTCCCACTACGACAAACGAATTGAAGCCTCAGTAGCTATTTGGTAAAATGGCTAAATCTTTCCTCTAAACCTGAATGCTGACAAATTCTCAAAATCGAATATTGACTCCCGATGAAGGACAAGAACGTTTCATCCGAAACGTGTTTTTTTAGGAAAAAAGCATCTTGTTGAAGACCACTTATTAATTTACTGATGAGCTGTTTCTTTTTTGGCATACCGAATCTCTTTAATAGGTCGTATGATTTTCGTCTTGAACTCATCACTGACAGCGATTTGAAAATCTTCAATTCCATCAGAAAATAAAAAGTGGCAATAAGCAGCATTCTGAGTAGGAATGTGGCAGGCGTTTGTCGACAACACGACACTACATGGTGTCAGATATGTTTTTAAGAAGCGTCACGTTCTCACTCGCTTAATCTGGTTTGTGCTACTGCTGACCTCTGGAGGATGTTACATTTTCACAGTTTACACAGCTGTCGTTACATACTTCGACCGTCCTATCAACACTGTAGTAAGCAGAAAAAATGTGGAAGGATTGGATTTTCCAGCAGTCACAATCTGTCCTCAAAATGACTTTGCTAAAAGCAAGCTATACATGACAGATGACAACCCATTATTCGCTTCCACCGGGTTAAATATTAGCGCCTGTGCCGTGACTTCAGAAGTAAGGGGCGATCGACCTTGTGGATGGTCACTTCTTTGCGCTTTGCCTGAATTTCAAGCCTATTTAGGCCCCGCTATACCAAACTGCACGAAACAATACAGTAATGATCTTTGGAGTGAAATTCAAAAATCTCTCCATTATATCGACAAAGAAGTTATGTATCGTTACTTCAGCCAAGAATTAGACTTTCTCATTGGCCCAGCATGTAGCTTTAAACAGAATATACATTGCTCAGCAAGAGATTTTGTTCCCTTGGAAACTAAATGGGGTAAGTGTTATACCTTTAACTCAGGTAAAAATGACAAATTAAAGAGGGTGAACAGTGCTGGCATATCATTTGGATTTGCTGTCATTCTCGATGTCCAAAGAGAAGAATACAGTTTTGGAAAGCTTTCAGAAGGATTCAAGGTGGTGATTCACAAGCAAGGTGAATTCATCAATGAATGGGAAGGAATCAACGTTGGACCAGGACAGCATGCTACTATTGTGCTTTCGGAGAAAAGGGTAACGTTCCCCACTTGTTTTCAGTGAAAGTGACTAATTGTCACGCTGTTTGTTCTCTTTTTAAAAAGCTAACTTTTTTTGACATCATTTGTATTTGAAAAATTGAAACTGTCTCCTTTCGTCCGTTGCAATAGTCTGCTACACAGCCATTTTTAGTGTTGCCACGCAACGCTCCTCCCCACTAGGGAGGAGCGTTGCGTGACGATACTAAAAACGCCTGTGTAGCAGACTATTGCAACGGATGGCAAGGATGGACATGGATTGAAACTTGAAAATTGTGGGCCAACTTCAGAACGGAATCAGTAGACTCCCATAAGAAAGCAATACCCTCGTGTCATAGCCTTTTTAGGAGAAAATAATGAAACCTTCATTTCTTTCTCACAATCTAAAATCTATTGAAAAATATCATTCGAATTCATGCTGATATCTGTAAGACAGGGATCACGCTTAAGTTACTCTGTTATTGATCGCGGCCTTAACAAAAAGCTTATCAGCCACGATCCTTATCCTTTTGTATCGTCGTGGTCATAGTTGTACTGTTCCATTTGTTGAGACAGAAATTACAGAAAAAATAACGGTAAACTTGTCCTAGCGAGTTTCGCCGTTTTCCAGTTAATTTTGAAAAATGTTAAATTATTAAAATAGGTGCAATATGTATCAAAGGCTATTCTAACTTATACAGTAGAAACCAAATAGCAATAAAAATATAAATATTCTCCTTGATCCTACTCTCTCCGCCAAAAAGAAAGTTACAATTTCTTACCTTCTTTGCCAAGAATATTATTTCAGATTTCATGAAGTGGTGACGTTAACGGTAGATGGAAAGGGTAGAGGATCTTGTCTCAAGACTGAGAAGCAATGCAATTGGACTTTTAATTTTTTCAAATTATTTGATTCGGTATTCTGTAGTACAAGAATCTGGAAAAGCCGTACTCCACCAATTGTACCAAGAAGGCTTTGAAAACCTTCGATACTTACACAACAGCAGGTTGTCTCTTTGAGTGTGAAGCTGAAATGATCGTCAAGGATTGTAATTGCCGACCCTCTGGTTACAAAGGTACTAGCAATTAAGAAAGAATTACGAATTTTAACGAAAGATATTTGATTGTAAATCCATCAGAACTTTTTTGAAGGTTCAAATCATAAGTTAGTAACGATTCCCAACCAACATGGTTTGCAAAGCGTAAACTGGCTTTCTACAATATTGACGCGTTTACTAATACAAGTGAGCAATTAGAAGCAGAGCGGTCGTCCCATAGTAGTATGGTAGGGGTGAAATTAACCCCTTTTTGGCAAGGAATCTCATTAAGGAAGGCGTCGATGACGTCATAGCCTTTTGACTTTACCTCATGAATAAAATACACAGAAATCTCATTATTTCGTATCTCTTGAATTCTTAATACACAGAAACAACAGACTCATGTAACAATCACCGGTTTTCATCAGTTTAATAGTTTTTAGTTGATGTTGTAGGATCGATGAAGGGTCGATGTGCGGTCGATGTGGTGGAGGGAAAATAAAAATAAAAAATAAATTGAATCAATTAATTGTGAAGGGGCAGGAGGGGGAGTGGGATAAGTAAAACACTGTGTTTTGTACTATAAAGAGTTAGTTTGCCTTCGCCCTCGTTAATATGCACGATTTGGGCGCCAAGAAGCATTGAAACGGAATTTTAACAATTGTTAGACAATGAAAGAGGCAGAAAGAAAAACTTGCATTATAACCTGGGTGATTTTAAGTCACAGGTGGTTGCATAACAAGATATAAACAGTATGAGACACATAATTAAAAATAAACTACGACACCATCCATCTAAAAATAGCAAAAAACTATTAAACCTATATAAACCAGTCGAGGTTACGTGAGGCTATTGTTTCTGTTGTATTAATAATACAAGAGATGGGAGATTAATCAAAAAAAGGTTTATTTCATCCCTAAAATACTACTTCCCGCTTTCAGGATCAAAATATTAAGGCGAAAAGCTATCACTGAAACACCTAGTTTGCTCTTAATTCCGTTCAATTTCTCCATATTCCAAGACACAAATAAAATCCAAAGTTGCAGCCGAAAGCAGTAAATTTCTAATATGCGATAAAAAGAACAAAATCTTTTAAAAACGTGGTTCACTTTTTTATGCAGCCCTCCCGCAGTGCCCTACCGGTGGGTCTTTAAAGTTTCTTCGCCTGATTTATTTTAGGGAAGGTTCCCGAGATGCATGCATGCGTAACGGAAGAGCAGGTAGACTGTGTTTCAAAGGTTTTAGGTAAGGAATGACTGTTTTCCATCACCTTAAGCACTTACTTGCCGAAGTTTTCCCATTTCGTTTTTGTGCAGCGAAAATACAATTATAATGCTCAATTAGTCTTTTTATTGAACTTTTTGTCTACTTCTATGTATTTATTTTTTTCTGGCCCTTCGAAAGCTGGTGAACTGATTTTTCTCCTTCACTTACCTAATCTTTTTTCCCTACTTCTCAGGTAAAAAGAGGAGACGCTAGAGAAATTTAAAGTCATGTTTACGACAAACGATAAACGCGAATTTGTACCACGTGACCAAGTTTTTCCCTCTACTTCTCTTTAACTGTTCTTTACTATTAAAGTTTCACATTATTTTCATCCATAAGAATTGTTTTAAACTCTTTTTATCAGCTCATGTTCTCCACTTGAGAAATTCTTAACTTGAGTCTGTCGTTTGCCGTTTGCCATAAACGTGACTTTAAATCTCTCTAATATTTTCAAACGTAAACAAAATATAACCTATTGGCTGAACTACATGCAGTCAATTATATCCCAGTCTTTAATTTTCTAATTAAAACATTTTAATTCTATAAAGTAAACAGCAAGTCCTGTGAGTGTGAAGTTCCCTGTTATCAGACCAAATTTAACACTGAAGTGTCCTATACAAAGTTTCCTAATCCTGGCATGGCTAAACTCCTGCAGTTGCGAGGCTACAGCCGCGATTTCCAATACCAAAGGTAACTCAACTAAAACTTAATAATTATCTTTAAATTATCAAGAACTTTTTTAGTAGTCTGAAGTGTCAGCAGGGGTTTGACTGTAATTCCTTTTTTGCAGACACCTGCTTAATACTGACACCTCATTATGACGGACAGTTTGCCTTGTCCCTGGGGAAACAAAGCCGTTACATTTTGTCTTAATTTAACCTGATAAATACGGACACTTTTTATGGCTCTCTCAGTGACCGAGTAAAAGGAGGTTAACTTTTGGGTCATTGCTATGATAAAGGGAAGTGCAGAGGTACTGAAAAAAAATTATTTACTTTTTCCCCACAGAGATAACCTTTTACTTTTACAAGTTGGATTCAAATCACTTAGTTATGAGATGCAAGAACAGAGACCAGCTTATGATATCAATTCTTTGTTTGGTAAAGTATTATTCATATTGAGTACATTATTAGCCCCAGTAAACTGAGAAGTGTTAACGAGAAAAGTCAATGCGTACCTTCGTATAACAATGCTAGGAGCTCATAACGCATGATCCTGTTCATATACATCCATTTTCGGGGGGAATCACATTAACTTGAGGGAAAGTATATGAACGCGGATAACATCTCATTAAGATATTAAACAATAAGCTAATTTGCACGTGACATTACACCGGCCATCTTAGTGGTCTAGGCAAAAAACAATGAATCCCCTTCTTGATTGGGTGTCTTTATCAAGTCATCGGCGTTAATTTTTTCCCCTGTTAATAAATGAGATTCCCACCATTAAAAACGACATAACTGGTGCTCCCTACACTACTTTTATCTGGTTCAATTTAAAGTCGTTAACAAGGTCTCCAAGTAAAAGTTAATGGACAAAAGCATAGAAAAATGGATATTCTACACAATCACTCGACTTACAGACTAGCCAGTCTCATTACGTGAACAGGATGCAATATGATTAATGTTTCAATACACAGTTGATGTAAGCAAATTCCATTTATACACAACTTTTGTCATTGGGCTAATAGACCTATTTGGATTGTTTCCTCATTTTTCAGGCGATATAGGAGGTAGTATGGGTTTATTCTTGGGGTGCAGCCTGTTAACTATCTTCGAGTTCTTTGACTTTCTCATCAGCCTCCTAACAAGACGACGGCATCGACGATTCCCTCATCCGATGTCAGTAGAAGAAGCACCGAAAAATCAATGACACTTTTCCTGCACGTTTCTCGGGAATCTAGAAATGTTCCAAAGCTATATAAACTCACACGTTTTTTAGAGTAACAACCAGTATAAATAGTCTAAATGACGTAAGATGACTTTTTAGCAGTTAATATTATTTAGACACTGCGGTAGGTAAGCTTTTTTTGTTTTGTTTTGTTTTGTTTTTTTCGTATTACGCACTTTAGGGCTAATTCAGTCTAGATTGACAATAGCCATAACAACTAAATATCCCCCACTGAAAATTGTTCACGTACTCGGTCCCCTCAAAAAAATATTTCCCAGAAGACTCTTGGGTGAGCTATGCCTGGAAACCTTGACTCCTCTCTCCAGTTTCCCAGCGTTTTTTCTCTCTTTTCTTCCTCACCATTTCTTGCCACGTATGTCCCTTTGCATCGTCCCTACTACATCTAATCCCCTATACCATAGAACACATACTTTCTCTCCTGGAACCCTTACTATCTATGTGGATTCCCAACTGCTCACGCCTAGAACACCTACTATATATCTCTTACCGAAACCCCTTCTTTCTATCATAGAACCCCTACTATTTATGCCCGGAACCTGAAATACCAACTTTCTACCCTGGATATGACCAAATATCCCTACTGTCTTAACTGAAACTACTACTTTCTAGGCCTGGCTCAAAGACACCAAACAATCTCCTGCGTCTCAGAAGCTTAAAAGGTTATGGTTTCCGTATGTACACTCACAACTTTCCTACCCGTTGAGATTATGGCTTTCTGGTTTTCTTAACCCTCTCCTTTACCGGCCTTTGAATAGGCCATAGCTTAGCTTTTACACAGAAATGTACCTCGTGTAAACTGACGCGGTTTGTAAAGTTCGTTTAATAAGCTAAAGGAGCGATATTAACTTTCGGAAGTAAAGAAGGTGTGTCATGAGCCATTAAGACTACAAGTTCAGTACAAAGGCTATTAATAAATACGTTGGCCACACTTTATGTTTACAGCCTTTTAATCCAATGAAATAACAGCCGAAAAAGGCTACCGCAGTTTGGTCGTGCGGTGTCTTATAAATGTGTAATCAACTCGCTGACCATATCCTGAGTGATAATTGCACATTTGTACGCACGTATACTCCTTTTTCGACCAAAAATCCGTTAAGTTGAACAGGGCAAAACAATTAAATTACACACACAACAATTGACAGTTTGCACGCGATGGACAATTTTAAAATATATGGAGTTTTCACGCGCATCTCTAAGGCTTTTGTGATGAAGTCAAAATCTCAAACCCTATGAATATGTCCCAAGTATTGGAGCTCACATTTATATACAGGATTCGATGGCAGACTTCCGGTGTTAGCTATTGTACAGTATTCGCTGACACTTAATAATGAGACGTTTGGCGGGACTCATGTTTAATCGAGCATATCACTGCTCTTCATTGCAAAGCGAAGCAAGTGGGGGACTCTGATGAAAGGTTATGAGATATGAACTTGTTGAATATCTTCTTTTCACGCCTATGGCTCCTTGCTGTCGCTTCACAGCATCTTGGCACGTGGAAGGCTTTAGCACAAGGTATGTTTATAGTAAACATATTTTTCAATGCAGCAGGCATCGTGCTTGAATATTTATTATTTTAGAGAAACATAAAGTTTGTTAACTCTGTTATCTCTTCCATCATTAACACCTTAGCTTGCCAACAAATTCACGGCAGTATTGGGAAATAATCCCGTTGAAAGGTCATTGAAGACTGAAATGAATTCAAGTTGTCTCCTTCCGCCAGTTTTCAGCACTCTGAGCACCAAAGACTTTACAGTCTCACGGATGGTCACCCACATCTCTAAAGGATACTTTATCCGTTTTAACTGCACGCTAAATCCACATCCTTTTCTATTCAATAGTGGTTTATAAACGATGAAATAAGCGTTACGCTGTCCGGATTCTTAGAAAAAAGGCATTTACCTTCCAGTTTTAATTAATCTTGTAAGGGAATTTTTTAATTAGTCTAAGACAGTCTGCTACAATGCATACCTGAAGCGACAATGTTTTTATATTTTCGTTATAATTTATGCATGTAACATACTTAAGGCAATTGACAGACCATGTAATGTGCCGTTCAAAAAAAAGGCAATTCAATTGGTTATTCGCCTATTGCTTAGGAACTGAACCATACTGCCCATAGCATACTTAACGTAAATTATTTTGTTGGTATTTTGAGAGCATTAGTTTAAGTTGTTCGTGATGTGTCACCAAGCTCATTAACTGTTTATAAATCCAAATGTTCTTAGCACAATGTCATATGCTTATATTGAGTCTTTTTTGTCGGCCTGATAAAAAAAAAGGAATCATTCTTATCCATGTTAGACAAATAAAGAGTCATCCTATCTTAAATTTGGCGCTTTTTACGGGAGTTAGGTAGTTATTTAGGAGGATAGCGATGTATCAAATCTCGTTGAACAGTAGAAGCAATAGTTTTGTTTGCTTGAAACATGAAATGTAAAATACCTTAAACATTTTACAAAAAGGCTTTTATCATACACAATTTGCACAGAGGAAGATAAAATAAACTGAATCCTATGTTAATCAGCCTTAGCGGAGCTTTTTAGAAAAACAGTTATTAGCCAGCAGATAATCTCAGCTAATGCCAAAATCTAAAATTTATAATATCTGAAAAGGAGGAAGAAAAAACTGGAAAATTCAATTGATTTATTAGCGCAAGATGTTTTCAACATCTTCCCAACTGCAATTGCCAACTCGAATTATTTTGAACTTTCCACTTACAATAAGAAATGTCTTTAATACTTAGTATTCCTAAGATAACTTAGAATAAGGCCCGGGGGCTACTCCCTTATACAAGCCATGTAGGTATGTTCCGCCCCAAAGGGAATGGTTTTTACGCTGTTTTGGTCTGAAAACGAATATAGACTTTGCCCATTTTGGTCAGGAATCGGGTATAGCTTTCGAGAAAACTGCGGGAATGTATGAACGTATTTATCGCTTCAATTCCAAATCAATAAGAAAGAAAGAGAAATATGCAAATTAGAAAGTATTTTAAGAAATCTTTTTGTCTACGTTCTAATCTAAGTAAATGATGACATAATTTCTTAGAGGCCAGGTCTGAAAACGGGTGTGAAAAATAACATTTTTTGGTCTGAAATAGGGTCAGGATTTATAGAATCGGGTGGCACAACCCCACTAAAAATTCCCAGGGGCACCCCCCCCCCCCCACCCTAGGAATAAGGTGATATTTTTTGCAGTTGCAGTTTTACCGCCATTCTGGGCGGTTCAAAGGAATAACGAACACTATTTCCGCGGTCAGTTCGGCAATAAAAAGCGACAAAAAAGGACGTAATCGCGGCAGATACTATAATAAACCGCTAGACTCTTATTCTTAACCTTACTAACCACATACTTAATATATATAATACCTCGGTGATGATCAATAAAAAATCACGTGACTTTGTTGAAGTGAAATTGAAAAGTTTTCTATGATCATTTTCTATGGAACTCCACCTGTGAAAACTAGACATTCGGCCCATGCGAAATCCAGCGATATTTTAGTTTTGTTAGCTGGCCACTAAAATTTAAAGTGACAGTAGACATCTGCGTTTCTTACTAAACATGTCCTTTGCATCAGTGTTCGTAAAATACAGACGGCGTCAATATGAAACTTGGCCTTCTGAAGAATTAAGAGTCTTAAATTGAGAAATAAAGCGATAAAGTTTAAACAGATTTGGTCTCCCATGCGTCTCTTGCATAACTGATGTCAAGTTCATGAAAATTGTGGTGTCTTAAGAGCTTCTTGATGGTAGAGTTTTTGAGGATTACTGTCTCTTTATCATGGCCAAATAAAATGCTTGTATGCCGGTTTCCTATATTTTAGGCATGACCGTAAATAGAGGTCAACGGTACCACGTTCAACCCTGTTTGACATTGGTGTTAAGAAAGTTTAACTTAGTAACAAATTGTTGTGATATGAAGAACAAATGTACGATATCGGTTTTCTTTCGACAGGAAAGCCATGTGAAGACCAGTTACCTGACTGTTCTGATTACCTTGATAATGATGAATGTGAAACCTACAGTGGCCTTACCAGACAGTACTGTGCTAAATCATGCAACTACTGTGAGTAGACAAGTTCTGTAGTCTTATGGAGGAGGGAGCTAGGGCGCTTCCACCATTGCAAGTGGTCAACTCTAGTCACTTAGGGATCCATCTGTCCCTGTATTGGTTGTGGCTCAAGTCCCCTCCCCCTATACACTACTTTCTTAACTGCCACAATTGTTATTCTCACAGCGTTTTTTTGTGGAGTCAAAAACTGTTGTGTGTTCGCATCACTTAAAGCATACCACTGATGATTAGTCGTTAGAGAATGATGATCTTCTTAGACGCCAAGTCAGCTGTCTCGTAAAAGTAGTCAAGATAGTTAATTCTAACTCTCATCTTAGCGTAATTAACATGGTGCAAATTATGTGATTATGATGCTCGCCGACAACGCTAATTTAAAATCCTCTAAAAAGAATGACGACAAACTGTTTTTCCTAAGAGACTTATTTGTTTTCTTTTCTTTTTTGTTTTCGAAGGTACAACAGCTCCCCCTCCTGGGTCAGGTGAGTACTATGGCCTGCTTCCTGCATGACTGAGCTTATACTCAAGTTTAGTAAAACTGATAATGTTATCACAAAATTTCCCGAAGAATCCACTGCCTATAATCTACAAAAAAATTTATGTACTATTTTGCATTCTAAGGCTGTGACTTTCTTTTTTTTTATTGAAGTTACACAATAAGATAAACTAAAGAACTGGCCCCAGCTGTTCAAAAGGTGGATAACCAGTTTGTGTACCGTAAAGGCCATAATATGACTATGGCTGTAATTAATTGTCATACTTAACAATTAATGAATGAGGCTGAGTATCTTATGAAGAACTTTATCGGTTTTATCCGTCGCGGCCGTAGGCCGAGGCGGATAACACTCTCCGAGATCTCCATAATTCTTCATATGATACGAAAGCCGAATTCGATAACTGTTTTATTATTCACCCAAAATAATTCCTTGTTTAAAAACAAAGCTAAAACATGCTTACCTCCATCGATGTTGAGTTCACTTTCGATAGTGCACGTTTAGGGTTGTTCAGCTCTGCAAATATTCTCCAATGTCGCCCTTCGAGTTGTCTTCTTGCTGTTCTTGCCATGTTTTTAGCGATAATTTCGCCTAGTGCTTATTCTAGAAACGAGTGAAATATCCGCCATTTTTTGTTTTCTCAACCAAAACAACTCAACCTCGTCCCCAGGTCTTCTCGATTAACGGTGCATTAACCTGCAAGAACGCTGCATTTTTGACGTCATTTCCTCGTTTAACACAAAATTCTTTCAAATTTGGTCATCAGTAACTTGTTATGGTGAATTATGCGTGTGCTTTTAGCCAATCAGAATCGGGGAAATATTTTGAAAGAATAATACATATACTTGGCTGAAATGGCTTGATTCGGGTTTTGAGGGTGTCAGAATTTTTTTTAAATTTTTTCGATATATTTTTTCCATTAACAGTTTGCCAAGACTTGTTATCAGACTGCGCAGTGTATATTGAGTCCTCATCTCAGTGCCACCAAGCTAAAGATTTTTTTATGAAGTACTGTCCAAGAACGTGCGGCTACTGTTGTAAGTTCCTGTAAAAGTCTATATGTAAAACTGTAAAAATTAGACATCTTCTGGGATAAGGGCCTCAACTCGTAACATAAACGTTGGGTGTTTGTGAAGCATTTCAGTGAAAGAATCCTAACTTTCCTAAAACTGTGAAAAAAATCTTATACACAATATATTTGTTTGTTTGTTTTTTTCGTTCCTTTATACAAATATGGGTTTTAGCCTTTCCTTTCTACAAAACAGTTCGGTGTCAGAAGATTTTAAAGTAGCATCCAACAGTTGGAGAATTAAAACAGCGCCGCTACAACACCTGGGTAGGTTCCAGTCCCTTACTGGAGAAATGTATTTTGTGTCGTACAAGAAAGGCCCCTTATCAAGAAAGTAAAAGAGCCACAAATATGAATTTGAGGAGCCTATTTATTTTCATTTACACTCTTCGTAGATTATCTTAATCGTCTTCTATAATCGAATTCGATACCTTATTTAAAAGAATGAAAGACGTCTATCTAACGAAAAAAAAAAACAGCTCGATTCACAGCTACAGACACGTGCATGCTTTGAGATGAGAGAACGATGTTCCTCTTCTAAAATGCCATTGAACTCTTACTTGCTCATCAGCATGTTACGACATTCTGCCAGAATGCGCTTCATTTATCACCAGTCCAGAGGAGTGTCGGACATCAACGTTTTTGACCAAATATTGTAGAATGTCTTGCAGTCTCTGTGGTAAGTGTTTCTTTTTTCTTTTTTTTTTTTACACAATTAAAGTATATTCTAGATCAACTGCTGCTTCTACAATTATGTAACTGCAAGAAACGGTCCATCAGTAGGCCATTCCTAAAATGTGTTGCTGCTTGGGCCCTTTGATGATTATTTTGATCATGGATTTTGTTACTTGAAAACACCTTGACTTACTTTGAGGCACCTAGTAAAGATAGACTTTTCATAGTTTTTCACTAATAATGATACTTTTGCTTTTTCAATTCAAAAAAAAAAGATTTTTCAACATCTTCACCCGCTACATCGTCTTCAACTTTGTTTCCAGCTACACAATCCTCTTCAACTGATTTTACCCCAACTCCAAGATCTTCGTCAACTGATTCTTCTCCATCTACTAAAACTATGTCGACTCAGTCTACGCCAGCTCCAAAATCTTCGTCTACTGGCATTACACCAACTCTTAAAACAACGTGGACTAAACCTTCCGCAACTACACTGCCTTTATTAACCACAGCGGTCGCTACAACGGCACGTACAACTAGAAAGCCGACAACAGGCAACACCCTTCCTCCTGGCCCAATAGGTATTTTCTTAAATACAGTTAACTGTTTTGCACACATATTTAGGTATTGTATATAAGATCTCTTCGAAAGGTAGCAGTATAGAAGTGATACACGTCCTACAAAACAAAGCCATGTTTTGGGGAGCCGCTTAGAAAAAATTGTCAAATATGCTTTAAAACTCAAACTCCTCAGCAGGTTTGTGGCTCACATAGCACTTATATTTCCAGTTCTTTAAAATTCAATCACATGACATTTTATTTTGTTTTTCAGGTACAAATTTCACTTGCCTTTTACTTATTTCCATTAAATATTGCCAAGAAATTATAGCTAACTTGAATGGTGTGACAGTTTCAGGATGTGCGGACGTCAATCCAGAGCAATGCGCTTCGATAGTTGCAGACGACCCGCAATCCTGCAGAAATAGCGATCGTCGGGAATATATGGAGACGAACTGTCCTGAGACGTGCAAATTATGTGGTATGAACAATAAATGAGTGAACGAAGAAGTTTCAATTTCATGTCAATATTTAAAATGTCTGCGTTACACTCGTTACTTCAAATCGAGTAAAGGTCATAAACAAAAATTGTTATATTTTTGTATGTTTACCAAAAAGCAAAGTATTACAGAGTGATTCAAAGGATGGTGAGACATTTTTAATATATTTTGGCATGAAATTAGCAGCGAACAAAGGGGCCCCAATGTCACAAAGTTTACTTATTGGCTCCCTTACTGTAAGAGGTGAAGATTTATATAAATATAACAATAATAATAATTCCTTTATTTACCCTCAGGGGTATTTATAGCACTTATGCTAGTGGGGCCGTGTAAATGGCTGAAACAAATAATTCAACATACTCAACATAGCAGGGATGAAAATACAAACTAAATGTAGAGTCAGGGAGTGACGTTTGTAAAGAAACGATAAATGCATGTGTCTCAGAAGTTTATTTGTGCAATTATGCTAAATATTTCACTGATTAGTACTCTTTTCGATTAGATGTGGATCTTTATTGTGAGGATAAAATGCCAAAGGAGTGCAGAGATCTTATCACAAGGGACAAGGAATACTGCAAAACAAAGCCTGAATTTATGAAGGAAAATTGTGCCAGTACATGTGAATATTGCGGTATGAGAAAACCAGTAAAGACAGAACTTTCATGTGTTCAGTACATTCTTTTTACTTGTTGGCACTGGGCGGGATTTGCAATGTTATCTAACATATTTTACTTTTCCATTATTAAGGGTGTACTGATGCTTTGGAAATATGCTCAGCACTAGTGGAAAATAACAAAGATTACTGTTTTTCCAATCGGCTGTTTATGAAAACAAACTGTCCAAAGTCATGTAATCTGTGCAACGGTAAGATGTATCCTATTTCATCATACAAGACAATGAGGCGAGTTTTTTTTTAACCTAAACAGGGCTTTCAAACACCGGATCGGTAGGAGATTAACGCAGTCTAACAAACTTATGATCGCTGTTCCTTCTTTCTCTTTACTTAGAGAGCCGCAACGCTTCACGCAATACAGAGGCAAACGGTATTTAAGTCATAACTTATTTTTTAATTACTAACATAACATTTAATAATAATAACAATAATAATAAAATTGTAATTGACAAAAGGCATGAAATTAATGGCTACTAAGTATTGCTGTAAAAATAATAAATATTTTAATTTCAGAAATGTTAGATAATTAGCTGCCTACGTGTTTGCTTGCTGCCATACTAAGTGTTTCCTTTTGGTTTTTAAAGCGCTCCCTCAAGTTAGCAGAGGGTGGAGAAGTTGAAGGGCTTGGAATAGAAACAAATCCCTTGACCTTTAGTTTCCAAAATGTTAGAACTATGAAATACCAAAACTTTCCCTTCAGTTGGCAGAGAGAGATGAAAAGAGCTAAAATACCAGCTTGAGGGTCACAACATATCATTGGACTTTGTCCTCAACAACACTAACCTGGTGTTAAATGAAATTTAAATTCAGTTTCGATGGGTTGTTTTGTATGTGAAATTAAATATAAAGAAAGGAGATGCGTTTTCGGGATCATAAAATGCGACTTCAAAAGCTGAACGAACAACAAATATGAAGATTAGTGTAAGATTCAAATGAGTAATTAGTACCATCTTAACATATTTCTTGCGTTATAGAGGATGTCTTGCCACCGGCGCCACCATTTAGGGGTAAGAAATAAAAGCTGAGATATCGTAACTATTAAGAAACATTCTAAGAGCAAAAGGACGTTTTCTTCAAATCAGGTCTATGACTCCATGCTGTAATTACTAGCAAATGAGATGATCAGGATACTTGCGGCATGATTCTGCAATTTTTAGGGGCACACTATGCTCCGTCTAATGCCGTTTTGTTTTTTAAAACAAACGATCACATCATCCTAAGAGTGAAAAGGCAATTGGTGAATTAATGACTATAGTTGTCATGAAATATTGCCAATGTGTAGTTCAGTATAAGAAATGAAATACACGCAATGAAATTAGAGGGTCTCAATGTGGTTAACCGTCAGCTGCCAAAAAGGTAATTTTTTTACCGTCATCCGTCAAAAATACAGATTAATATTAACCGTCAAGAAGTTTCCAGGTATTTCAAATCTCACCTTTTCAGCTGATCTTCACGGAATTTTGGCTTCTGAAGAATCTTCAACTGGAAAAACCAGTTTCCATGTTCTCAAAACACTCTCTCTACGTGCTTTAGACATTATTAGACGTTACAACTTGCTTATATCTGAAAATATTTCAAAATTTCATAAGTGAAAGGCTAAGACAACCTCAAAAAACTTAATACAGAAATTCATATTTTCTTAAACTCTTGGACTAAATTTCCTCTAAATAACTCTACGCGTCAACCGTCAAAAGCTCTAAAATTTAACCGTCAACCGTCAAAGCTACCATACTGCTCTTGTCCGTAGATTGTGTCGATAAAAGGAGGAGATGTCAAATGTTTGCTGCTAAAAGGAACTATTGTACTTATCAAAGACGGTTCATGAAACGCAACTGTCCAAAAGCATGCCAGTTCTGTGAAAAGGTAAGGTGACTGTGTAGTTTACATCGAGAAAACAGTTCACCCTTCTTACATATGCCATTTTTTACGTCGTCCTCAGTAGAACCTTTGAGTATATTTGCCATATGACTAGTCAACGTTTGCCGTTGTCCACTTTGCTATTGACTATAACTTCATTTTTCGTATGAATCAGAAATTTGGAAACGCCACACAACGTAAATTATTAATTCCTATAATACATTTGATGAACTAGATAAAAAGATAGGAACGGTTTCTATTAACAATTTCAGTTTGCAGTGGTGTGGAAAAACAGTACAGTAAGATAAGCTCGAAAGCGAAATAAAAGCTTTATTTGCGCAAGACGCAACCCTAGCGGATAAGGTTGCGGAGTGGTCTATGCAGAATAGAATCAAACTCAATAGCGACAAGTGTAAGGAGCTCAGGATATGTTTTGTAAAGGATGAGCCCTAGTTTGCGCCTATTGTAGTAGATGGTAATGAGCTAAAGAAAGTGACTAGTGCTAAACTTCTAGGTCCGACCATATCGAGCAACCTTACATGGAACGATCATATTAGTGACATTATCAACCAAGCGTCGAAGCGTATGTATTTTTTTGGTGCAGTTAAAGAGATCGAGAGTTCCTTGGCAGGATATGTGCACTTTTTACTCTGCTTGTATACCGCTCTGTTCTTACGTACGCTACACCCCCCTTTTTTATGCCCTGCCAAAGTACCTAAAAGAAGAGTTGGTGCGAGTTGAAAAGCGGGCCAGGGGCGTAGCCAGGATTTTTCAAAGGGGGGGTCACAGAGGCTACTCACCAGATTGTCATGTCGACTTCCACGCCCATATTAGCTAAAGACAAGAGCCGTTGACGAAAATACTTCACAAAAAAACAAATTTTAAAAAAGTGGGCTTTTCAACAATGGCTTTTACGGCCAAGATATTGTCATGGCGTTTTCGCTACCTGAATATTGTAGGTTGTTTGCTCAAAAGAAGGCCTACCAAGGGGGGGTCACGGGCACCCCAGGACCCCCCCCCTAGCTACGCCCCTGCGGGCAATGTCTATAATATGCCCAGGATGGCCCCACCAGGAGGCTATCGAACTGGTGAACATTGTTCCTACAGTAGATTTCATCAATGGGCTATGTAGTAATACTTTCGACACCATTGTAAAGGACCCTGAACACCGTCTGAACAGTTTAATACCATTTAGTGGACCGTCACGTTATGCTCTAAGGTGCAACTGATGCTTCATTGTACCTAAATGCCAGACAGATCGTTTTAGGAACAGTTGTATGATTAGATCTTGTATTGATAATATATATATACGTAGATTTTTAGACTTTTTATCATCTTTTTTATACTTTCTTATTTACGGTACCTAGTTTTATATACCATTTTATCAATCGCATCATTGGTAAATACGCAATTCAGCCTTTGGGCTGCAAAGCATTGATAATTAAACTATCTATCTATCCTTCCAAAAACCTTCCCTGCAGCTGTTTATCTGTTTAAAGAAACGTACCAGACTTCACAGCAGATGTTCAGCAGCTACTTGTCATACGATAGTGTCTGTCCAAACATGATGTCATGGTCTTTATACTGTGTACACAGTTGTGAAACCAAAAGGATAACATTTGACATTGTACATCAGTCGAAAGTGCCATCTCAAAGTGTGCTACAGCGTATCTATAAATTCATCCACAAAATACGTTGGGGTGATGCCCAAGCATTTCATAGTGATACTTAGAGTCGAAGAAGGCGTGTTTTGCGACAAACACTACCAGTTCTTTACAGACGTTTAAGTAATGTTCTGGCGGATTTCCATTGCATTTGCCCTTTCTGTTCTAGCTGTCTCCACCGTTCAGTCTTGTCTGAAGGTATGCTTTTCGGGGATAGTCTGGGTTCCGATTCTTTTAGAGCTAAATCAAAACAAACTTTTCAGCTACTGGTACTCGTGAAGAAACAGGTACCTGTTGATCGCTTCTGCTCTTCATTTTATTGTCGGTTTTGCCTCCCGAACATGAATCAAAAATTTTAACTCTGACACGATTTCAGGCGAATCTCAACTGTGTTTAGGTAAAAATCAGGAGGAGACAATAGTTACTCATGGCTATTAACAACGTTAGAATTGAAAATCTTAATAAAGAAGATTAGATGAAGATATGAGGAAACTTCCTCTGAGTTTTCATAAACGCAGCTCAAGCATATACCGTGGACAATATGGATTAAAGATGTATTGTATTGTATTTTCCCAGGAGTACAATTTTTCGATCAACACTGAATGGAATGGTGCCCCAATCAATCACGCGCCCATCGTCTTCCAAATTAGTGCCCAGGACTCTCGTAATTTACTCGTATCTGTCAGTGGACCTTTCTTCAATGACCCAGGGCCACCACCATGCGCGGCCGGAAGCGCTTGTTACGGATTGTGGAACTACGAAGGTAAAATCCTCGCTGTTTTAAGGCAAAGTTTAAGTGTCAGTACTTCGAGCAGCTTCAAAAAGGTCTGGTTTACAAGAGTGTTTGGAAAATATTAATGGAAGGGCAACATTTTTTGCTAGGTTATTTTAAACTGGATGCAATTTTCTTGATCCCGCCATTTGCAATTTTCAAGAAAAAGATAAACGTGATCAACTTCCATACCACGCAACTTAAGGAAAGGTTGCTTGTATATGACAGTGAAACCATCGTTGGTAGCTAAAGCCCAACAAATCATTGAGGCGTTTTTTATTAGGGTTCTCAGAAATGAGACGAGCTAAACACGTTAAAGGAGCTTATATTGATGTCATTTCAATATCATTTAACCTGTCATTTTTGAATTTTCAACCATATGCTATACTTTTGACTATTTTAGTTGCCGAGGTGTTTTTTCTTGGGAAAAACGAGAAATACTTGGAAGTCGAGTTGAGCCCGTAAGTCTCTTTTCAGATTGTCTTATCTACGTTGGTTTGCAGATCCATATTTCATTTATATCCTATTAATAAGTTAATAATTGTATTGTATCCTGTTTTAATATTCGATCGTTCTGGGATAATACTAATTTATATATAGAATGCGTTATATCAGGTTCGTTTTACACCATAGTTGGGAATGACTGTTTTGCATTCCGCCCATAGCCAGAGCGATACTGCGTGGAGATATTAAAATGGCGGTTATCACATTTTTGGGTATATAAGCAGCCACGCACTATAAGACACTATCAAGATAAAGCAGAAATGTACAGGTTTTTTTGACTCTCTCCCTCGGAGTCTTCAGCGTTTCAAGTGTGTAATTAGAAAATTACAGTATAAGGAATAAACCTGTTGTCTGTGCAAAAAACTTGTACGTGATTTCTCTTCCAAGTGGATTCGACACATATCCAAATCAATGACGAATGTCACTCGTTAAACCGGGCTGTCGCTTAGTATCATGCGGGAGTCCTAGTATATATTGAGGTTTCACTGTTTAACAAACTTCAGATTTATGACTTTTATCCTTTTTAGGCATGGACAACATTTGCTTCTTTTACTGAATGGAGTAAGGAAGCCATTTTTGGTAAGAACACATGTGGATCGAGCTTACAGATTGCTGAAAACGTGTTTAAAAAAACGATGTTGCGCGTTTTACCACCCACGAAAACAAATCAAGTTGATTTGGGTTGCGAAACGTTGTTGCAGAAAGTAGAGAGTAGTTTTACTTTTTGCAACAAATTTCCGCTACCTGCAACAACCTAATTTATTGCAAAACAAGTGATTCGGGGGGGGGGGTAAAACGGACAACACCGCTTTTCGATTCATTTTGCTGCAATGTTACAAAACAAGTTGCTCATTTTTGTTGCTTGTTATATCGTTGCTTTAAAGCACAGACTGAACAGGGTAATCTGACACAAGGAGCAAGTCAAAAAGTTTGGAAAAATCGAACGGAAAAAAGACTCCGAATATTAATTAAGTTGATTGCTTGTTTTAAATACTAACCAGTATTGAATTAATAGCTTCTTTCTTTTTAAATTCAACACATGGTGTGCAGTGACTTTGACGCCTTTTTGGGTTTTGATGCGCAAGCTCTTCTCAATGTACTTTCAATATTGACAAGTTCACTTATTTTCTAATTTCATATTTTTTTCAAACTGGTTTGTATCTCACTGTCTTAACGAAAAAAGTCGTTTTCTTTCTTATCTCAGGATAAGGTGCCTATAGAGTACACAGCACAAATTGACCGCACAAAGAACACATGGAATGGTACTGCGACAATTCCGATGGACTACCTCCCACCACATGTGGGAAGAATCAATGCATATGCCATTCACGGGTCTGGGGTCAATCGGCGATACGAGTCATTATATCCTGCATCGGCTGATGTCAGCGATCCTGATTTGTGAGTGAAATGATCGCATTGTATCGTAAATTATACGATTATGCATTGACTAGTCAAAAGCTTACTGTTTATCTTTACCACACAAAAAAAACGTTTTCACTTATCGATGAGTATTTAACACTTGCCTGAGAAAGTTAGGGTGTTGAGTTTGGAAACATTTCGAAGGTTACGAAAAAATGGATAGCCATCGTACGATGAAAGCTGTTCGTAAATACTAAATAATAATCATACTGTCTTAAAAACGAGCACTCGACACATAGTAAGTTTTGAACTNATCGGCGATACGAGTCATTATATCCTGCATCGGCTGATGTCAGCGATCCTGATTTGTGAGTGAAATGATCGCATTGTATCGTAAATTATACGATTATGCATTGACTAGTCAAAAGCTTACTGTTTATCTTTTCCACACAAAAAAAACGTTTTCACTTATCGATGAGTATTTAACACTTGCCTAAGAAAGTTAGGGTGTTGAGTTTGGAAACATTTCGAAGGTTACGAAAAAATGGATAGCCATCGTACGATGAAAGCTGTTCGTAAATACTAAATAATAATCATACTGTCTTAAAAACGAGCACTCGACACATAGTAAGTTTTGAACTGCTTGTCATCTAGTAGTCCGAGTGAAAAAAAAGTGCAGCTCTTTCCCTATTTTTAATTGTCCGGCGAATTTCAAACAAACTTCTCAAATTCGAGTATCCTCTTCGTCGAAACACTGAGACTTTCATTTGTCTTAAGGGAAATTTTAAAAACACTGATTAGTGGATGAGGTTTTTGTGATATCCGCGATAATCAAGGTCGAGGTAAGTGTAATCAGCCAAGCCGACGGCCGAGGCTTATAGCAGGCTTACCGAGACCTTGATTATTTAGGATATCAAAAAAACCGAATCTAAAAATTGTTTTATTATACGTTGTTTTGAAGAAAATAACGACAACACACCGTCGCAAGGAACCTAAATTGATATTGGTATTGGAAATCATGAAATGCGCGCGCAACCTACAGATTAGTCAGTTATCTGCTAGCAGATAACTAACTAATCTGTAGGTTGCTCTGATTTCCAAAATTAGCTGTAGCCAATGAAAAGACAGATAGTGAGTATAATGTATAATAAAAAAGGTTATTGATTAAAACATCTGACAACATCAATTGGTAACCCTTCCTCGTGACATACTCTGGCCGATGACAGTTTGATTTCACTGGGCGCGCGGTTGACAAATAACTAAAATTGAATTTTTGGCAAAACATTCATCAACTAACTCCCTTGTTATTTCTTTTTAGCCATCGCCTGGAATTTTTCAAGCCATTTGACTTTAAAGCCATGTTTTCTTTATCGTGGGAGAAACCAAAGTCGCCTTTCTGGAAGAACAGTATTCGAAGAATCATGCGATCAAGAGCAAGAATTTAATTCTTGGTTTGCAAGCACGTGACAAGGCGGCCATGTTGTTGGTCAATACAATAATTTATTTTCGATGAATTTACACGAAAATGGAGTTAGTTCCTATTGGAGAGAAATGCATTTGTTCGTGTTCACCAATATGGCCGCCATGTCGCGTGCAAACCAGCAATTGGGATTTTCAGCCAGTCACATATTGTTGCCCCAACCTCATGCGAAGTTTCAGGAAGGCAAACCGTGTAATGAAACGAAGTACAACACGATAGTATACTACCAAATAAATCTTAGTAATCCCAGAATACCGGGACAGTAGTTTAGGAATGTTTTCCTTTTTATTTTTTCGGGCGGGAGGGGGGGGGGGGGTTT